CCACAGGGGCTGCAGCCTACGCCGTCGCTGGCAACTCATGGCAGCCCAGCTCCAGGTTGAGCTGTTGTTCAGCATCTTAGCTGTGGAGGGCCGTGTCACTGGCCCTCATATGTGGGATCCGAACCGGGGACCTCTGGCATCCCAAGCCAGCTCTTAACCTACACGCCACTCGGTGGGCCTGGTATTGTTTCTTTTTTAAATGTTTGGTAGACCTCACCAGTGAAGCCAAATGATCCTGAAGTTTTCTTAGTGGAAAAGTTTTTAACTACAAATGGAATTTATTCAAAAGATACGGGCCTATTTAGGTGATCCAGTTTTTCTTGAGTATGCTTTTGTAGTTTGTACCTTTCAGGAAATTTGACCCTTTTATCTGAGTTGTCAAGTTTATTGATATAAAGTTATTCATAATATTTCCTTATGATCCTTTTAATGTCTGAATAATCTGTAGTGTTATCACCTATCTTTTTCCTGCTGTTAGCAATTTTTGTCTTCTCTCTCACACCATCTTTTTTTTTTCTTTTTTTCTCTTTTTGGTGGGAGCAGCATTTTGGGGATTGATTAGGATTTTAATCATTTTATTGATATTTTCCAAGAAACAGCTTTTGGTTTTATTGATTTTTTTTCCCCCTGCTGTTTTTCATGCTTCTATTTCATTGATTTTTGCTATTTTTATTCCTTCTACTTAGATTTCATCTTCTTTCTGTGTCTAATTAAATAAGGTTAAAGCTGAGGTTATTGATTTCAAATCTATCTTTTTTTTTTTAAAGATTTTATTGGGGAATTGGGGGAGGAGAACAGACAAATTGTTGTCCTTTTGTTCTTCATTCTAGTTGTGGAGGACGTGGCTTCACTGGCCCATGTTGGTATTATCATTGCGCTCTTCCCGGGTGAGGCAGTAGCTTGCCTGGCATTGGATGGCCGCTCATGGTGGCTCACGGCAGCTCACGAAAGCTCACACCTGCTGCCGGCCAGCCCCACTGCAGCCTATGCTGTTGCCAGGGACTCATGGCAGCCCAGCCCCACGTCAAGCTGTTGTTCACCATCTTAGCTGTAGAGGGCGCAGTGTCACTGGCCCATATGGGTTCTGAACCGGTGGCCCTGCTGCTCAGTGCTCGCTCTCCCAAGCCAACTCTTAACCAATGAGCCACTTGGCCAGACCTCTTCTTATCTTTTTGAGGACTCTACTTACATCTGTATTTGATTTGGTTGAAGTTGTCATAGAGTTCATTAGTATTCTTTTTTTTTCCACTCTGTGATTCATTTTGTCCCTTGGAGCAGTGTTCTTTGTTGCCAGATATCTCATACTTTTGGAGTGCCATCATTTTTATGTACTTTGTCTGGATTTTTAATTTTTCACACAAGAGTAAATCCGGTCCCTGTTACTCCATATTGACCAACAGTGAAAGTCTCTAAACTATTAATTACACAATTAATATACAAATATATTCTTGTAAAACATTGAAACATTGTGATTACAGCGTCAGTCTCTGATGATGCATCTTTTCCAATCCCAGTCTTCTTCCCAGAGACTACACTTGGTTGTAGTATGTATCTCCTCAGAATTTTTTTTTTTTTTTTGCTTTTACACAAACACATAAGATATACCCATGGAAACAATATATTTTTAAACGTTTTCTTTTTCTTTTCAGTTTATTTCTACTTAAATTGCTTCATTGTTTCATCTCTGTTCTACAGGCAGCTAAGAAAGAACATGCAGCTATCATCCTTTGGAACACTACATCTTGGAAACAGGTGCAGAATTTAGTTTTCCACAGTTTGACTGTCACACAGATGGCCTTCTCACCTAATGACAAGTTCTTACTAGCTGTTTCCAGAGATCGTACCTGGTCACTGTGGAAGAGGCAGGACACAATCTCACCTGAGTTAGGTAAAAACAGCTTCTGATCGGGGAGGTTATTGATGAAACAGTTATATCCGTTTTATCCATCTTGAGAAGCTATTGGGTGAAGAGAAACAAATGATAACCGGGTGAAGGGCAGAGTCTCACTGTTGTGAAGTCTTTCAAAATTCTGTTATAATTGAGGAAGAATCGACTTGCCTTGTAGAATTTAAATGCAGGTGATCTTTGGGTTGACTTCCTTGTGATTAAGTTGTGAGGGTGGCGTATGTTCAGACGTCACAGTTAAAGAAACAAAAATCTATATGTAGAAAATTTAGATCTTGTAGATGGTTATAGAATGCCACTATAAAACCCAATGGATGGCGTATTCTAAGCTAGGATTTTATGGGACAGGAATAATGACGATGTAGTTAAATAATGAAACTTAGAAACACCATTAACTTTACCATTTTCCTACCCACCCCTCTCACTTGGATAATTGGGAAGGGTGTTTTAGGCATCCACCTGTGAATAACATGACTCCTGGGCAAGATGTTAACATACCTACCTGCTTTCTAATCTGAGCCTGGCACAAATTGAAAAAAAAAAGAAAAGAAAAAAAGCTTTGTGTTGTTTCAGCAGATGCCATTCCTATTCTCCTGATTTCTTGGTAAAATCTAGAGTGTTTAAAGTATCTGTTGATTACTCCTACTTTAATTTTTTTCATTGAATTTAATCTGATATTTCTAGTCCCTTAGTTTCTTGTCTTTCAGAGAATACTAGGGACTATGACACGTACTGAGCAGTATGTGCAAAATCACTTTTGCAACTAGTGATTTCCTAACATGCAACCTTTACTTTTTTATTTTTAATTACTAGATTTTTATTTTATTTTATTTTTTTATTAGTTTCAGGTGTATAGAACAATGCACTAGTTATCCTTTTCACCCCTCACAAAGTAACAACCCCTCTCCCCCATCCACTGCCCTCCCACTCCGATATCATGCTCATCTATTAGAATTCCATTGACTCCATTCCCACACTCTACTCCACATCCCGTGACTATATGTATATATAATTATAGTTGACATACCTTTACTTTTTAAAAAGTTAAAGTGATACTGATAACATATCCATTAATTTGCTATATTTTTATGGATTAATAGATACCTTCCACTTTCCTCCTCATAAGCAGTTATGAGTTTTAGGTTTAGTCCATATAAGTGCTAGAAATTACCTTACATTTCAAACTTTTATTTTTTAACAGTATGGTACAAGAAATTTTATGTAACAAATAATTACAAAACACAATAACAGATACAAGGTACAAGAAATTTTATGTACTGGTAACAAGTTTATGATATTTACACATCATAGAAGGCCAAGAACTTTTCATAGTTGCAAGTTTGCTGTAAGTTCAACAAAATCGATTATTGTATTCCAGGGTATTATTTTGCATATGGATGTCGATATTGATTTCTAGAGTTATACTTTTTTTTTTAAAGATTTTATTGGGGAATCGGGGAAGGGGAACAGCCAAGTTGTTGTCCTTCAATCTTAGTTGTGGAGGGTGCAGCTAGCTTGGCTTCAAGTCCAGTAGCTATCCGGTCGACTGTCTGCAGCTCACAGCCACTCAGCTCAAGGTGCCGTGTTTCAATCTTAGTTGCGGGTGGGCGTAGCCCACCATCCCATGCAGGAGTCAAACTGGCAACCTTGTTGTTAGGAACACGTGCTCTCACCAGCTGAGCCATCCTGCCACCTGTTGCCAGCTAAGCGGCAGCTCAGGCGCAGCTCACTGGCCCATGTGGGAATCGAACCGGCGACCTGTTGCCAAGAACTTGAGCTCTTAGCCAACTGAGCCACTCGGCCGGCCCCTAGAGTTACACTTTTAACTTATGGACATAAATAAAAGAATTAAAAACATTTATATAGATACGGAATTAGTACCACCCATGTATAATGGATATCTTTGTTTTTCCCTCACAAATTTTGGCAAAAAAGTGTACGTTATACACGGCAAAAAAACGGTAAATTGAATACTGAATTACATGATGTATATGGCACTTAAACATAGCTTTCTAACAAGTAAAAAATAGTTTTCTCTGCTTTGTAAGTAGTGCATATGTGTTTCTTTCAGACCCAATTTTTAGTCTCTTGGCCTTCACCAACAAAATCACCGCTGTGCACAGTAGAATTATTTGGTCTTGTGATTGGAGTCCTGACAGCAAGTTTTTCTTCACTGGAAGTCGAGACAAAAAGGTAACTTTTTTTAACTTAATATTTTTTCAAATGTAAAATAATATTGTTACAGGTATGTTTGGATAGAAAACACGTAATCCTGACTTTCTGATAAAACTTTTAAAAACCAATTTATGTATTCCTGTCCGTGTTTTTCATATGCATACATAAAAATGTATTTTCTTACTTGTTAAATTCTGTACGTACATTCCTCTGTACGATCAAATATGAAAGGCAGACCTTTCAGACACGTGACCTGGCATCCTGTGGCCCCAATGGGAGAAAAGTAGTAAATGAAATGGATTAAGACTAAAGAGAGCAGGGCAAAGGGGGCCTAAGGGACAAAACTGTTTCTACTTTTCTTTTTCATACTTTTATGAATTAAGGTTTTGTTTTTCTACAATGAATGGATATTACTTTTCATTCGGTGGTGAGTAGGATGTGTGTGTGTGTGAGACCCGAGCTTTGAAAAAATCAGAACAAGTTAGCTAGCAGTGGGCTCTTGACTGACCCTCGTCCATGTTCTCTGGGAGACGTTCCCCTGGTTTCTGGTCTTTCCTGTTTTTGTGCTCTTTATTTCCTTTTTCTTAAGTTCGTGCAGGCCAGGGGTGACAAGGCAGTTGAGTTGCTGTTCCTCTCCTTGGCCTCTCCAGTCCTAGTCATGGTGCAAGTTACTGAAGCGGAGGGGTAGCATGGTCATGTTGTCCCGCAGTGAGACACTGAGGTAGCAGCCTCTAAAACTCTCTCTCAGACCTTCGCTTTGCTCACTTGACTATGTAATTCTTCCCTGGGGTTTATTTGCCTCTGCTGTGCTTGCTGCTGAGGAAGCAGGATGACTTCTGCTCTCCCCAGCCACACCCAGGAGCAGATGGTCCATCTGCAGCTCCCAGGGGCATGTCAGGGCTGAAGAAAACAAAGCATCATTCACTGCGCATTCTCAGAAACACCCTTGCACTTTCTTGGGCAGAGCCTTCTGCTTGGAATCTTGCTTTGGTCTTGCATTTTGCCACTGTTGTCTGTTTCAATTTCCTTTCCGTTTTTTTGGTAATCAATCATACCCCCTTGAGGCATGAACTTCCAGGGAAGCATCATTTTTCATGTGGGGTGTCATTAAGGTTAGGGCCTCCTGACAGTGGAGCTGATGTCCTGTGCAGTGGGTGGTGTAGAGGAAGAGCCAGGGACTTCACTGCTCCCCATGTATATTTTGTGGTAACTTCTTCGGCAGATGCATGAACCCCCCAGTGAGGACATGATCAGTAGAATCTCACTGGATCAGAACTGGTTTCCTGGTCTCCGGGCAGGGACAGTCTGTCTATGAATGCCGCACTTAGGTAGTTGAAGTCTCAGAGACTTGTGTCTGCTACACTGTGGCTTCTCTGTGATGCTTGAAATATGCTCTGAAGTCCTAGAACACAAACAGTACATTTTTTTTAAATACCAGAGCAAATGTTTTGTATTATCTATGTCATTGAAACTCTCTAATGCATTGCTGGAGACTTTACAAAGAGAAAGCTTTACAGAGTGTGATCTGTCTGTGTTAGGTGGTTGTCTGGGGTGAGTGCGACTCCAGCGATGACTCTGTCGAGCACAGCATCGGCCCCTGCTCCTCCGTCCTGGACGTGGGTGGCTCTGTGACAGCTGTCAGCGTCTGCCCAGTGCTTAACCTTGCCCAAAGGTCAGTCTCTGTGTGGGCCTTCATTGTGTGTTTTCTTTAAGAAGGCCACTTGGATTCTCAATATGTAGCCCTCTTACACTTTCATTCATGGGTTCTCTTAGTTTCCCAACTGCTATTTTTTTCATAATGCTTATGTTTCTCACAAGCATTTTTATTTTTATTTATTTATTTATTTATTTAAAGATTTTTATTGGGGAATTGGGGGAATGGGAACAGCGCTGGGGAATTGGGGGAAGGGGAACAGACAAGTTGCTGTCGTTTTGTTCTTCAGTCTAGTTGTGGAGGATGTTGCTTCACTGGCCCAAGTTGGCACCATCATTGCGCTCTTCCCGGGTGAGGCAGATCAGTCGCCGGCTTCTGGACGGCCGCTCACTGCGGCTGCTGGCCGCTCACGCTGGCTGCTGGCTACACACGGTAGCTCATGACAACCCAGTGCCACAGGGGCTGCAGCCTACGCCGTCGCCGGCGACTCACAGCAGCCCAGCTCCAGGTTGAGCTGTTGTTCAGCATCTTAGCTGTGGAGGGCAGTGTCACTGACTCTCATATGTGGGATCCGAACCGGGGCCCTCTGGCATCCCAAGCCAGTTCTTAACCATCGTGCCACTCAGCCGGCCCTCACAAGCATTTTTAAATTGATAGAACTTGATAGTCAGAGTGGCGAAAGAGAGATTGAGAGTGTGGCCCAAAAGTTCTTATTTCACCAAATTCAGGACTGTGGTACTTTCTCTGTACCAAGTGTCTTTAGCAGAACGAGGGCCCCTGCAGCCAGCTAGGGAAACATTGGTTCTTGGAGGACAGATAAAACTGCGCCCTCGATGGAGAGGAGGCCCTTAAGGGCACAGTGTAACTGTGCAATGTATTCTGGGCTGGTGCTTTTAAACAGGCCTTTGTAAGCATGGGACAGTTGGGAACCCTATGAAGGACTACTTTAGAGTGATGATGGAGATAACGGAATTTCATGCTAAATTAATCATGGCCTCCCCCCTCCCTTAAAAACAGATACGTTATTGCAGTAGGATTAGAGTGTGGAAAGATTTGTTTATACACCTGGAAAAAGACTGATCAAGTTCCAGAAGTAAATGACTGGACCCACTGCGTAGAAACAAGTCAAAGGTATTTTCTTTTCATTTTTGCTTGCATTGGACTACATAGAAATCATGGAGTCTTTATGGAAAACTTTTATGCCTCATTGGCATGGAGAGGGACACACATCCTTCGTGGTGCTCACCACTAAGTGGTACCTGTGTGTCCAGTGGTAATCGCTTGAAATTGATGTTTGTTGCTATTGGGTTGTTGGAAAAGTCATGACACATTTTTGCAACAAAAAGTATAGAAAAAATACATGATGACTTTTCCGACAACCCAATATATTGCACTTGGTTTTTAAAAGTTTGCTTGACCATATTGCTTGTTTGCATAATGTTGTCTTTATAGATAACACGTTTGAGATAAAAGTGATTTTCAAAATGTGTTTTAGAATTTGACTACAGTAGACTCAATAAAATTTGATTCAAAATGTTGGTGATTTTCTGAAATATTATAGATTGTGTTTTGGTGGCCACATCTGTGTTAGAACACTTTAGCTCAGGTCCCATAATGGAGCAAACTGTTGAGTGCCCCTCAGAGCCCCATGACTGGCTTTCAAGCACAGCGACCTGTCCCTGAGCCTCACACCCTAGTCACCTGAGCTGGTTTAGAGCACCTGCAGTTACAACCTCCTCCCCACCATCACCTGCCTAGACAACAGGGATCATGTTTTAATCTACTTTTTTACCCATTTTATTCTTTAAAAACATCTAAACTCGAAAATGGTCACCAGCATCATTCTGTGTCAGATTTTCTTAGGATTCTTCCACTTCCATACATCTGAACTGCTCAGAATATAATTTCAAATACAATTCAAAACAGCAGTATCATGATAAGGTGATTGACCTGTACATTTTGATTTTCAGGTTTCAACTTCAATTTATATTAAAAAGGTTAATAGTAAGAGTATACTAGTTAAATTAATATGTAGGTGAACACCCAGTAAAATATTTTGTAGTCATAGCATACATTCATTTCATGATTTCTCTCTTTGTTTAGCCAAAGTCATACACTTGCTATCAGAAAATTATGCTGGAAGAATTGTAATGGAAAAACCGAACAGAAGGAAGCAGAAGGCACTGAATGGTTACACTTTGCAAGTTGTGGTGAAGATCATACTGTGAAGATATACAAAGTGAACAGTTGTGCACTGTGATGGACTTAATTACAAGCATTTATTCATTGGTGTCTTAAAATATTTATCACGTAAATAGGTAACTTGTCTTTACCTCGTAATTTCATTGAGTTTCATTTGTAAGTCCTATGGCGGCAGTATTGATTTGGGTTGCAGACCCTTTGAAATCTAATGAAAGCTACAGACTTTTCCTGAAATTGTTACATGTGTACATTCCCTTAGAGCCTTGCCCATCCTTCCGGGGTTTCAGACCTGAATCCGTGTGATCCAGATTAAGAACCTCTTTTCTGTTCTTTCTTCGTGACCAAACTTGCCTAATTTTGTGTTATTTTGGGCCTTCTCTTTTCATAGGCCCCTCTTTGGGACATTTCATTATTTATTACCCTCTTCAGAGGAAGGACATAGAAAATAAAAAAGAGAAAAAAGCCAGATTACTCAGTTTTTATTGAAACAGTTTTTGTAAATAAACAGACCACACAAAGGGTGGTCCTGACCCTTTCTTCCCAGTACACACTAACCATTCCAGGAATTTGGCAGGCGGTTGGGAGTTTGAACTACAGTCAGTCATTTCTTCTATTCTTTAAAAGTGCATAGATTCTTCTTGTAGGGTTTGACTGAAAATAGAATATCCTGTCATTTAATCTGTTAGAGGTATGAGCTGAAAAGTAGAGTCTGAATCTTCTGAATTTATGTGAAATCACATAAATGGGTCATGAAAGTACAGGATATATCCCCCAGGGGTAATGAGTAGTGGGAGCACAGGGAAGAAGGTACTGGAAAGAGAATGTTGGGTGTGCCAGCTGAGGTTTGGGAGGCAGCCACGAGAATGGGGAGCTTGGGAGATGGGCGGAGAGAGGTTAAGGGGGTGTGAGAGGTACAATGAAGACTGTGGGAGTGGAGGTTTCCCCTGACCCTGGAGTCATCTGGCAAACTGGCAGTTAAAGGAATATGCACATGATGTGCTGACAGAAGGGCTATGAGGGCTTTCTTGGTGGAAGTGTATACCATTATCTAACATGACATTTGCTTCCAAAGGAGGTATGTGATATTTTATCTAAATAGAGATTTCTAGACAAGTACTACCCAGTATTTCTAATCCAACAGAAATATAATATGAGCTATGTATGTAATTAAATTTTTTCTTTTTTAGAGATTTCAGCTTTTATTTTTCTTCCTTTTCACAAAACAAACTAGAAGAAATAATACAGGAATAAAGCCACAAAAGTAGTTAAATTGGTAGAATACGTATACACAAAAATAACCAGATAAAAAGACAGGCTTATTTACAACGAGGAAACACATGTAAATTAAGGTGGTTTGTGGTTTTCATTTAAAATAAACAAGCAAAAAATATCAAACATGCTACATGGGTGCCACTGTTTACAACAATATCGAAGGGGAGAAAACCACTTATTAAGGGACCAATATACCACAAGGTCCAGGGTTTCTAGCATCAGTGCAATAAATTCACAAAACGATATTACAGCTAGTTAATCAGAGTTTTGAGTTGTTCCCAAATGTTACATTTTTGGCCCTCAGAGGTTTGTTCCTACAGATTTCAACTACTCTGAACTTCTAGCTATTGAGAGGGAGAATGGTTCTAAGATGCTTTCCAAAAAGGCCTATGTATCCTCTCCACAAGTCTGTTCTCCTTGTATCCTTCAGAGAAATATCTAGGAGAAAAAGTCAGATGCCAGCATAGTTGCCACTTCCTGGGCCAGATTTACGGGGACAAAAGCAGCCAGCATTACCATAAAATGAGAATCTTGAGGCTTATCTTTTTAAAGGCTTATTCTGGTCTTGCAAAATTAGTAGGCTAAGATCGTTTTCTACTGAATCTTACTAAACACAGGGAGACTTGCATCCTTCACTGGCTGGTCTTGGAGTGAAGGTCACAAATCTGAGTCTTAACCTCTTACGTATTTTAGTTCTAGTCAGCTGAAACTCTGAAATTAATAGTATGCTAAAAATCCTAAATTCAAGCTTTTGGAAGCCTGCTGTTAAAAAGCCTTTAAGGAGGGCCGGCTGAGTGGCGTGATGGTTAAGAACGGGCTTGGGACGCCAGAGGGCCCCGGTTTGGATCCCACATGAGGGCCAGTGACACTGCCTTCTACAGCTAAGATGCTGAACAACAGCTCAACCTGGAGCTGGGCTGCCGTGAGTCGTCGGCGATGGTGTAGGCTGCAGCCCCTGCTGCAGTGGGTTGCCATGGGCTACTGTGTGTAGCCAGCAGCCAGCGTGAGTGGCCAGCAGCCGCCTTCCAGGTGCCGCCTCAGTGAGCCTTCCCCTGAGACTCCCACAGCGAACCCAGCACCTGTAATTTTAAATTTTTAGTAGCCACATAATAAAAATAAAAAGAAATGGAAATTTTATTTTAATGACATCTTTGTTTGAACCCAGTAATATCTATTTCAACATATAATATGAAAAGTGATGGATTATATTTTGTACAATATAAAGTGCATGTTACACTTAGAGCCCGTCTCAGTTCGGACGTTTCAAATGCTCATACTTGGACAGAGCAGTTCTAGATGATTGAGTCCGTACAAACTTGTTTCTCAGGTGTGTGTACGTGTGTGGACCAAGTCAGTGAGCATCTGAGTTTCCCGAGCTCAGAAGCCAGGATGCCCTGAACTACTTCCTTGCTTGCCACTCAGAAGGGTCTGAGTCTTCACCCCCAACAGCACACAGGGATTTGCTCTGATCCCACGCATGCAGGATTCCAGAGCACTCAGTGGACTAACTTAGTCCTTGAGAGCCTTTTCCAACACAGAACTCAAACCCCCAAGGTTCCTTGAAAGCAGATCTAGTCTCGGAGAGACTAAGTTCATGGTTGGTTATTGTTTTGCCAGAAGAGTTTGTAGATAGACAGTTTTCCCAAATTTTCCTGAAGCGTCTTCCTCAGTAATCACGTGGGTAATTCAGTAAGTGTTTGGAGGACTCGCTGTACCCTTGGAGGTCTGCATTGTAATTCATCCACAAAAATGGTAATTTTACACATGCAGGTCTTAATCGGCCGAAGGTCACCCTTTGAACCATAGTGTAGTAATTTGTGATATCAAAAGCAAAAAGGTAGTTTTGGAACTTTGTTCCAGAGGAGTGGAAGAGTATTTCAAAATCCCCAACCTGCCCTCCCCCATTCCCCGGAACTCATTTCTCTCCTTGGTTCAGAGCACAAAGTTCAGATTGATGGCAAGCGCCAGCCAAGCAGCTGCTGTCTTCTGATTTATCCAGCTTTCCTAGGTGGAGGAGAGGTGATGAGGTTGTTTCAAGTAGATTTTACCTTGGACAGCAAGGAGCCAAATCACTATGTTCCCATTAGCCTCAGGGGAAGCAGAGTTGGTTATTGATTCCAAAGTGGGAATTAGAGGGAGACTGCAAATTCAGGAATGAAATAAAAGGACATAATCACTCTTCAGTTAGAAATTCTGACCATCATAGAAAATCCTGGGTTGTCTGCAAGAGGACTGGAAGGCCTTCCACCCATTTTTGTATAAACTCTTATGTATTTCTCAAGGCTCTAGGTGAGGATTGGAACCTGGACTTAAGGAATCAGAAATGTGTTTGAATCCTGGCTCACACTGGCTATAACTAAGGGTTAAGTTTTTCCTCTCGTCTCTGCAAATGGAGATAATACTAGTGGATCAGTTTGACGAAAATGCAAAATGTTCTTTCTGGCTTATGCAAGATAGACATTTTCTCTCTCCAAAGGGATCAAGGTAGGCAGAGTAGGATAGGAACCCAGGCTTTTTTCTTTGCTGTCTGCCATCCTCTCAGGGTGTGGTTTCCTTACTATCCAGAATGGCAGCTTGGCCTCCTGCCATAATCCGCATTCCAGCCAGTGGAAAGGTGGAAGGCCGCATAAGAAAAGGCTTGCCCCTAACTTTAAAAAAACCTATTTGGAAGTTCACACAGTTCTGCCTAATCTCTGTGGCCAGAATTTAATTTTGTGACCATGTCTCAAGGAAGCTGGGAAATTAAATCTTTATTGCAAGTGACGCTGTGCTTAGCTGAGAATTGAGGTGCTTTATTCTAGAAGAAAGAACAAATGTTGGTTTCATTTTGTAAAAAGTAATCACCTCATAGGGTTGTTATGAGGATTAAGTGAGGCAGTGCATGAAAAATGCTAGCCCAGAGCCTGGATATATAGAAGATGCTGATAATTAGTAACCGTTACTAGTATGATTAAATAAAGCTCAATCCATGTTGCCTCTAGAGGGCCTTTACTAATCCCTTTTTTTCAAGTATTCTTTCTCTGCATTCCATAGTATTTCTTTTCTTTTATGGCACTTGTCACTTCCTATCTTTTATGTATGTATGTCTTCAGCTGTATCAATTCGATCTTTCTGTGATAAGACAGTTTGTCTCAAAATGATACAGTGAATTATTGGCTTGCGAAACTGGAAAAAAAAACATCCAGTGGTAAGACGAAGTGCACGTAGAGTTTGATTAGGACACTGTTTCGCATTCTCTAATTCTCTGAGCTATGCCCTCCCTGTGTATCAGCTTTCTTCCAAGGCTGCCCTCCTTCCTGGATGAAAGCAGCCCCTGGAGTTACAGATTTCCTTGTCCATATCAAAAGGAATTAACCTTTAAACATTGAAGTCCCTAGTTTTACTCTGACCGGAACATCCTGAACTAATCAAAATGGGCAGAGGAAAAGCACGCATTGAGTGGCTTGGGCCTGCCCATCTGATAGCAAGAGCCATGAGACTACTATCCTGGAGCTGGAGGCAGGGTCCCGTCAGGACCACATGGCTGCTCCACGTGGGGTGGTTTTCCAAAGCAAAATCGAGCAGTGGGTGCTGGGTAGGCATCCCATGAGAGCCCACTGTACAAGTATACCAAAGCATAACTATCTGGGCATCAGATTTGTTTCCTTCTCCACAGCCACTAGCACAGTGTATTTAGCACAGTGGAGTGTCAAATATTGGCTGAATTCAAGGGTAAGTTTGACAATATAGATGGTTGGCCACTGGAGGAAGCATTCTCCCATGTAATCCACCAGTCAGTAAATAGAAGAATTGGTATCAGATCCTTTCCCTGTCTCAGGTGGCACAAAGCTGTAGGGGACAGAGAGGAGGAGGGAGGTGTCAGCACAGAAGGGACAAAGAAGGGGGTGGCCTGATCCAGTCAACCTGCCCCTGAATAAACACTGGGAGAAGCCAAGTCCCCAGGAAAACAGCCTCAGGAAGATCCCTGCTCTGGGTCCACTTACCCACCCACCCTCTCACTCCTGAAGTCTGCCCAGTATGGGTGGGGTTTTGTTTTGAACATTATAGGTTTAGATATAATGGAGCCTTGTTCCCAAGCATATCGTCATTCGGAGCTGCCCTTTTAGCTTCTATTCACAGAAAAGTTCTCCTGTCACTTGAGGGGACGGAGCTTCCTGGCGTTTCTTATCTGATCTTTTCACTGCTCTCAAGTTGTTTGTACCAAAGCTTCTCTGCCAGGCTCTGGAGAAAAACCTGCTCCATTGCTGTCTCATTATAATACTTCCTGCTGTGCAGGCCCTTTTCTGGTTTTTCAGGTATCAGATTATCATTGTTAGGTCAGCAGGTTCTCATTGTTAGGGAGGTATGCATTTCTCTCTAGCAGGAAATACTAAATTTCATTATCCAAACCCAATTTAGCCTCCTCTGAAACACCCACCCTCCATCCCAACGACTTGGCAGAAAATTTGATCCATCATAATTGCAGCCCCCAGCTACCTCCGTGCTCATGAGGGTGGGGTCGGGGAGGGGGGTGTTTAAGCCAGTGGGAAAACCTCCACCCTTCCTCACCATGTCAGACTCGACCATTGTAACGGAGTTTCCATCCCCACCTAGAGAACACCACATGCCGCCTAGGCCTAAGCAGCAAGTTCAATAATCTGATTAGTCCTTCAGCCTTAGATACTGCCAGGCACTTTGCTCTGGCTCTCTTCCAGCCTCTCTGTACCTTCTCACCGGTCGTGTGGCATGGAGGCATATGCCCCTTAAATGTCCCTATCCTCAGGGCTCTGTCCTCTTTCCCTGACCACTCCAGAGCTCTTTGGATTACCCCTCCCATGAGTCTTGTCTCCAACCCTGGACACTGTCCTTCCTGAGCCCTGGGCCCCAGTCTTCACACACACACACACACACACACACACACACACACACACACACGTCCTGAACTGAGCTCCACATTGTCTTCCTGTGTCTGAGCCCCCTCCTTGTCACTCAGTTGACAGTGCTGAGTCACCCTGAGCCAGTCAGTCCTCCCTCAGTCCCCCTTTGGCCCTGAATCACTTCTGCGCCATCGGGACCTCCAATCAAGCCCTCATTGAACTTCACCAGGACCCCCGTCCAGCCTCTGGTGGGCAGTGCTGCCTGCAGTCTCTCCACACCTGTGCCCCTCCTCTGTGCTGCCAGGGGTGTCAGACACACCTCGAGGCAGCTGCTCCCCTGTAGTGAGTCCCCAGTGTCTTCCTGCACTGCAATCTGACCTACGCCCTCCCCATCCCCACTCCTCATTCCCTCACAACTGAGGCCTGTGGTCCAGCCTCACTGAAGGCCCTGCTTCTGGAATTTTCTGAGCCCTTTTGTACTTACAGGCCTTTGCATATGGAATGCTGCCCTCTCTACCCCACGTTCTCTTCTAGGACCCTCCAAAGCCTCAACCTCTGGGGGAGGCCCCTTCTCCAGCCCTCTGCAGCTTGGAGGGGTGATCTGAGTGCAGACCCATCTCCTTTAATGTCCGGAGGCCTCTCAGGCCCAGCGGCTGCCTTGTGGACTCTTGTCTTCCTTGAACCCACCATGTCCTTAGTGGGGAGCAGCTCTCCGGTGAACACTGAAGGAATGCCCCTGCCCAAGCTTGTTTGCATCTTCAGTGATTCAAGCCAGACGTTGTGTTTGGTTTCCCTGCCCCCACTTACCACCCCATCCATCCTGGTAATGGGCCATTAGACAGTTCTGCTCAGATCACCTCTTAGGGACACTTTCTCAATCTTCAGACTAAAATTCCAGTCCCTTAGCCTGGCTTAAAAGCTTCCAAACCCTGCCCCCAAACCTGCCCCGCCTTCTTCCTCAACCACCAAGCTCAGCGAGAGGCACTCACTGAACTTTTTGCCAAGGGAGTAAGTGAATGAAAGAATATATGAACGAATGCTTTATGTATAGTGGAGATTCTTAAACAGAGCCCATTTCCAGGGGACACGGAACTGGGCTCGGTGAGCTGGACCAGGGACAAAACCTCATAAAAGGGGAGGGATTTGAAGTACAAAATCAGGGCTGTCTTACCTGTCTGCCCAGTCTGGCTTCTAGGCACATATTGGGTTGTCGGAAATGTCATGGCACATTTCTGCAATGAAAAACATAGAAAAAATACGTCTTGACTTCTCTGACACCCAATAGTTTTCATGGTGCTCAGATAAGAGAGGGCTGTAAGTAGGAGCTGAAGAGCTGTTTCCCTACAAAGCTGTAAACTTTGGATGCAGAGGCCTGCTGCCTGGGACCGCAGCATGGACCAGCTCAGGCTCCTCAGAGGCCCCAGGTGAGACAAGGCAGTAACAGTCCTAAGCACAGGACCCTGGAGCTCACTGAATGACGGACTCATGTAAGACATTCACTGGTGGGGGTGGGTTGAGAGCAAGCAATCTGATTTGTGACAGGCTCGTCCTGGCAAGAGAGGCCTAGGGAATCTTAGTGCCAGTTAGAGGCTGAGGCTCCTGGTTTCCCCTCACCCCTCACCACTCTCCCTCCCTTCTTCACAGGCTCACTCACTGCTGTGGCCCAGGTCAAAGGATCCTTTCTTTGAGGCGCCTTCCCTGGACTCCTGGTTGGAAGTAGCCCTTTCTCCTCTCTCCTGTAATTCTCACCTGCATGCGGAAGCCAATGGTAGGGCACTCAGACCACATGGCCTTGTGGTCGGATGTTCAACAGCTAATTTCCCAACATGGCTGTTGGCATAATATCGTCACATCCTCCTGAGCATATAGTGACCTGGGCAGAGCCAAAAGCTTAAAGATATTCCTTGACTAAATAAATGGTAGTTCAGCGATTTTTAATGACCTTCAAGAGTTCTGCACTGTCATCAAAGGACACAATTAACAGAGTGAAAAGGCAACCTACGGAATGGGAGGAAATACTGTAAATCATATCTTAATATCCAGAATATGTAAGGAACTCCAATTTGACAATAAAAAATAAAAACCTGACTGAAAAAAATGGGCAAAGCACTTGAATAGACATTTCTCCAGAGATGTTCAAATGGCCAATAAACACATGAAAAGAGGCTCAACATCACTAGTCATTAGGGAAATGTAAATCAACACCACAATGAGATGCTATTTCACATCCAGTAGGATGGCTACTATGAAAAAAATACTAATAAAGAAAAGAAGTGTTGGTGAGGATGTGGAGAAACTGGAAACTGTGTACTGTTGATGGGAATGGCAGAACAGAATGGCAGTTCCTCAAAAATGGAAAATTAAGTTACCATATGATCCAGCAACTCCACTTCTGGTTATATATCCAAAAGAATTGAAAGCAGGATTTCAAAGAGACATTTGTACACCCATGTTCACAATAGAATTATTTACAATAGCCAAGAAGTGGAAGTAATCCAAGTGTTCAACAAAACGTGGTATACACATATAATGGAATATTATTCAGCCCAAGGAAATCCTGTCACATGCTACAACATGGATGAACTTAGAGGATATTATGTTAAGTGAAATAAGGCAGTCACAAAAAGACAAATACTGTATGATCTCACTTATAAGAGGTACATAGAGTAGCCAAATTTAGAGGCAGAAAATAGAATGGTGGTTGCCAGAGGCTGGGGAAGGGGAGAAAGGGGGAATTGTTATTTAACTGGTGCAGGGTTTCAGTTTTGCAAGATGAAAAGAGTTCTGGAAATTGGTTGTACAACAATGTGAATGTACTTAACACTATGGAACTCTGTGCACTTAAAAATGGCTAAGATGGTACATTTTATGTTATGTATATTTTACCACAATTAAATATAATTTTTTGAGAAGATGAGCAATGTGGCAGAATAGGTAAATGCTATGCCTGATACCTCCTGGGATTACATAAAATTACAACTAAATTATAGAACAATCATCCTTGAGAATCATCTGAAGATGAGCGGAACAGAATGCCTGTAACTAAGGATATAAAGAAGAGGCCACATTGAGACCGGTAGGAGGGGTGGAGATCTAAAGTGGGCTGACCCCAAACCCACAGGTAGTGGTTGAGCACTGGAAGGGACATGTTGGCAGTGGAGGTTTCCCCCGAAGAGTGAGGAGTCCCAGCCCCACACCAAAACATCTGGCAGTGAAAATCAGCAAGGATTCCATGTGTCCGTGAGATTGAAGGCGATTAGAAACCCAGATGTCCTCTTAAAGGGCCTGTGGATAGACTCACTCACTTGCAGGCACCCTGGGCTCCGGCAGAGGGACAGTGACTTGAGAGGTGCCAGAAACATACAGGGAAAGACTGAGTCATGTGGCTTCAGAGTGAGGGCTAGAGGGACAGCCACTATTATCCCTGTGTGGAGCCTGCCTCACGTGTAACCTACAGAATGGCGCCGTCTTTCCTGTGTTGAACCCACCGCCACGGAGCCAAATCCGAGATTGCATTGGTCTGGTAAAATCTGCGCATGTGCATACCACCTTGGTGACTCTCTTGGACCCCATCCATGTAGTGTAGCATCACCTGGAGCACTCTCAGGTCCTAGGTGGTCAGTCTCACCCTGCAAGCTTGTGGGAGGGTTGTACAGCAGTGGTCAGCCTGCGGCAGTGTGGGAAACTTCTGGTGGCAGGCATGCAGCCCTAGCTTGTGCTGCAGCCTTTCTTTGGCAGCTCTTGGGGATCTGTGGGCCTGAGGAGAGTGGTGGCTGGCCGTGGTGTTGTTGGGGCATTTTGCGAAAAGGCCACAGGCTCAGTACTGCACTGGCACAGGAACTGGTTTTTAACTTTCTAAAAACCACTGGCTACATACACCCTGTGACTCCTGGAGACTCTGCCCTGACCAGCTAGCACAGCATTGATGGGAGCACTCTCAGCTCCTGGGTGGCCAGCCCCTCCCCACAAGCTGCTGGAGGCTTGTATAGCAGCGGATGGCCTGCAACAGCCTGGGAAGCTTTGGATGGCAGACTGTCAGCCCCAGCTCATACTGCAACCTTTCTGGGGCAGATCCTGGGTTTCTGCGGGCCCAAGGCAAATGACGGCTGGCCCAGGTGTTCTCGTGGCATTTTGTGGAGTGGCCACAGGCTCAGTTAGTGGTACACAAACTGAATTTGCATTAACTTGGTAAAAAACATTGGTCATGCCCTGTAAATCCCTGGGACCCTGCCCCACCAAACTTGGGCGACATTGTTAGGGGCACTGTCAACACTGGGTCAACCAGCCTGGTCCACACACCTAAGGAGGCTCTTTTAGCTGCAGAGCCCTATTGGCAGCCAGCAGGTGACAACAGGCTTGGGGAGCTCTGGGCCTTTTGCTAAGCTGCCCCATGTCCAATACTGGTTGCAGCTGACTTCAGTTCACAAAAAGGCCACCCCCACATGCCTCTAGGTCCAATACAGGCAGCAACTAATTGAATATAGTTTTGTAGCTCCTACCAGGTAGCCCCAGTCTGGTCACCGGCAAGGCTGAAATTGGCCGGCATGGGAGCCCCTCCCAAGAGGAACAAGAAACAACATACCCAGAGGCCAGCCTCAGACCACACCAGAACACTACCTGATTAGCCCCAAAGTGGCACACCCAGTGGGTGGTATCAACAGGTACCAGAGCCCACTAAGACAAATCCTCCTCCGAGGGCTCAACCCCCACACAGCATCTCATACGCTGTAGGTATAGCCAATCCTCACAGCCAGTCAGCCTGAGAGTCAATTCACCCACCGACATGCCAAAAGCAATTAAGGTTCAACTACAGCTGGAGAATAATACACACAGCGCACACAGGGGACACTCCTAGAACACATGCACAGGTGATCAGAGAGACTGTGCCACTGGACCACATAAGACACCTACTACATAAGGCCGTCCTGCAAAGACTGAGACATAGGAGATAGAAACAAACACAGAGAGGCAGCAGAATGAGGAAACAAAGAAACATGTCCCAAATAAAAGAATAAGCGAAAACTCCAGAAAAAGAACTAAATGAAATGAAGACAACTACCCTACCAGAGACAGAGTTTAAAACACTGGTTATAAGAATGTTTAAGGAACTTAGTGAGAACTTCAACACAGAGATAGTAAGCATAAAGAAGGGGATAAATACCATAAAAGAGAACCAGTCAGAAGTGAAGAATACAATAACTGAAATGAAGAATGCACTAGAAGGAATTACGAGTAGACTAGTCACTAGATGAAGCAGAGAATTGAACCACTTCATAATTATATGTCTAAAAACTAAGTTGTACACCTGAAACTAATACAAAATAATATTGACTGCCAACTATAATTAAAAAAATAGTCACAGGGATGTGTAATGCAGCATGGGGAATATAGTGGATAATGTTCTAATAACTATGTACAATGTCAGGTAGGTAGTAGACTTGTTGGGGTTATCATTTTGTGAGTTATATAAATGTCTGATTGCTATGTTGTTCTGTACCCCTGAAACTAATACTAAAAGGAAAAAAAATTGTTAAAAAGGTTCTGACTTGTCTCATTCAGATGTTCACTAGGCAAGCTTGTCCTAAAGTAGCACCCCTGTAGATTTGGGATTTTTTGGCCACAGTACACCTCCAGGAGAGATGCTCCTTAGGGTTCCAGGAAAATGACCTGGGCCTTCACATACAGTGCAGTTCATGAACCCCCGAGTCAGAATCACCCAGGCTAGTTAGAAATACAGTACCTCAGGTCCCACCCCAAATTTAAAGAATCAGAATCTGCATTTTAGTAGACGTCCAGGTGATTTGCACAAGTTAATTCTGGAAAAGCCTGGTCTAGAGGAGAGCCTCACTATGGCACGGGCACCCTTCCCATTTCGTTCCACTGAGGTATGCTTGGAGAGCTACTGGTCCACTCCTGGACCCCCACCTTGGGTTCCCTCACCTGGCCCACATCTGAATCCCTTGCTTAGGATCCCAGCACGTTGCCGCCTCTGCATCAAGTTCCGCATCGTCCTTCTTACCCAACTTGGTTCCATACCATGCACCTCACCTGGATACCCAGTACCTGGTCCGCTTTCACTCCACTCTCTAGGAGGACCCCGCGCCTAGGATAGTACCTGAGGGCCCCTTACCTCTTACCCGGGCCCCAGTTGGTGCGTCTGCCTTCCAGCCCCGGAGCCCAGCCCAGGCACTTCCCAAACGTGGGTTTGGCTTTCGCCTCCACACTTGATGCAACGGTGCCCTGGGACAAAAATGACATAGATGCAAGGGAGGAGCGGAGGGGGCGCTTTTGTCCTGGTCGCCTCTTTGCTACCGGTTTCGGCGGTGCGCAGCCGCGGAAATTTTATTAACCAACCTCGTGGATGCGCAATGTTTTTCCTCCTACACTCTTTGCTTTGCGCATTCTCAGAAACGCCGAGCACATGCCCCTCTGGGAAGCGCCAACCCGGGAAGTCTCCTTGCAAACGCCCCGTGCAGCACACGAGGGTCCCGCCACGTAGACTGAGGGTCCCAGGAGCTGTGAGGGGCTCGGGCCCCGGGACAGTGGCGAGGGTAGGCTCTCTATGTTCCAGGATGCCGGCCAGGAAAAAGAAACTCGTTGCTTCTTTCATCATCCTCTCCTTGACACCACAGATAAAGGAGAACTTAGTATTCCAAGTGTCCGGGGCATCTCCGTGGGCTCCGTTGGGAAGCTGTTCAAAGCGACAACAAAACTAGATACTCTCTCCCTTCGCTCCCAGGTGGGAAAAGGGCAGGAAAGAAGTGAAACTCCTTGAGTCAGCGCGGCGCACCCCCATAGGCGCCGCCCCTCGGCCGCGGGCCCGGTGCCATTGGCAGGAGGGGAGGCGCGGCCCGGGCGTGACGGGGGTGGAGTTTTCGCCGGCTTGCTTGGACCCTTCTCTGGGCCTGCCCGCCCGGGCAGGCTGGGATCATGGCCTGTCGGGACGCACACCGCGGTGCTGAGCTCCTGGACTTCGCGCAGTTCCGGGATTCGAGCACGCAGGCACTCGTTTACGGGTACGGCGGGCGCAGCCTACCGGAGCTGCGGGCGCGCGAATTCGGCCGCCTGGCAGGTGAGACCGGCGGGGGCACCAGCATGGGGCTGGCCGGGCGGCCGTGGGGGGCACGCAGTTTCTAGAACCCACCTGGAAGGAGCTTTTTGCTCCAGGTGGGAGCGGCGTTACCTCATTTGGGTCGCATTTTGAATCGAAAGACCTGGAGGGACGTGTCCAAGAGTCCGCTTCCTGGACACGGCCCCCGGAGGTCCCACTTGCAGCCCCAAGACTTCCTGCTACTCCTGCTCTTTAGACTTTCTAGTGGTACAGGACCAACGTAGTCCTTTTACAACTGTCCCCACCCTCCGCGAATAGAGCCTACGATCCTGCCCTTGCTGGCTGCGAAACTCCCGACTCTAAAGGTTCAACTGGAACCGGGCAAAATGCAGTAATGTGCAGCGGTGACTGTTCGGATGCTCGCGTTGGGACGGGAGCGGTGCGTGGGCGGCCAGTGGGTGGGGTTGGCACCAGGACTCCAACAGCTGGCCGGGTCGGGACAGAGAGGCTGCGGCCTCTGAGCAGGACCTCCCCGAGGCTGCACCCCAGCGGCCTGGGATGGCTCACAAGCAGCTTTTATGTTCGAAGCCTTCTTTTTCTCACTCTTGCAGTCTGAACAGTGCTTCCGAACTCTAGATCGCTGGGGGACTTGAAGAATTATTTAACAAACCGTGCAATCTGAGCTTTGAGTACAAGGCAAACCTGTAAATTGGACACGAGGACAGGAATCACATTGTGCGCTCGAGTACCACAAGGTGGAACAGTGGTTCAATTTGAAATCAAACTCAGTCTGGCCCTGTGGCCGGTTCCCAACCCATTACTGCAGGGCAGGAGCCGCTCCCCCCCCCTACCCCCACCCCCCTTCGGATTCAGAGTGACCTTTTTGCCAGGGACCTTGGATGAGGGACTTCCTTGAGCAGGGAGGGTCCTCAAGGTTAAGTGGGCAAGTCGTCGTACCCGCATTGGATTTGAGGTGTATTTATTATGTCGTGATGAACAGTTGGTGAGTGCTCCCTTGCTTGTGGCAGAACAGCAACCACGACTTACCTCTGGTTAATCAGGTAGCTCATTCAGCTCTATGGTGGTTTTCTTGTTTAGGCTGAAGAGGGAGAGGGGCCTTCTGGCCGCTTTTCTGTACTTCCTCCATATTGTTCAAAGCCGTAAAGCCACCACCTTGTCCTTTGGCTTCCACATTCTCTCTCTGAACTTTTTTATTATAGAAATTTCGTAATAGACTAATACAATGAACATCCACAGGTGCAGAGGAGGAAGGGAGGCTCCCCATTCTTTTGAAGCAAATCCCAGAGGCTGTAATCATTCAGTCCCTAATTATTTCAGCACCACACCGCCTTAATTCCCTAATCTGCTCCAGCTCTGACGCCTCACACCATCACTGGCTAATCCCTCAGCATCACCCTGGAAAAGTAGAGATGTGTTCTGGGTCCCTCCTTGTTTTCACTCTTGTCCTGCAGAGAACAGCACCTTTTCCCTCAATTGTATCTTTTAGCTGTGATAGCCAGGATTTCAGGTTGGGCTTCAGAGCCTCTTTAATATCTGCGGTACTGATGCTGCGGCCTTACCCTGAGGTTGCGTCCTGAGGAACCCACCATAAGTGGAAAATACCATTAAGTCAAAAATGCACTTAATACCTAATCTCTTGAACATCATAGCCTAGCCTAGCCTACCATAAATGTGTTCAGAACACTTACATTAGTCTAGAGTTGGGCAAAATCATCTAACACAATGACTACACTGTAGAATATCGGTTGTTTACCCTTGTGGTGGGCTGGCTGACTGGGAGCTGTGGCTCACTGCTGCTGCCCAGCATTCACAGGAGAAGATCGTGCTGCATATTGCTAGCCCAGGAAAAGGTCAAAATTCAAAATTTGAAGTAAGGTATCGGCTAAATGTGGATCGCTTTTGCACCATTGTAAAGTCAAAACATCGTAAGTCAAACTGTCATAAGTCTGTACTTGTAGTATTGTGTGCAGACTTATGTATCTATTTATATATTTATTTCATGCAAGTTCCCAGCATTTCCTATACATTACAGTTGAAGTCAGCTTTTGAGGACTAAACTCACCCCTCCCACTGCTAGGAGTCTTGGAACATATCCACCTTTTTTTTTTTTTATAGGGCAGGGCAAAACAAACAAAATAAACCAAAAGAACATAACCTTCACCTCGTTTCTTCCTCCTCGTCCCATAGTTCTTCTGCAGGTTTGAGAATTTATCTGGTTAAGTGGTAGCTCTGGATAATTAAATGTTTAACCTTTAAGTGTGAAATATTTTGCCTAATCAATTGGATGGAAATTTCCTTGTCTTGGTGAAGGGAGCATATTGAATATATGGCTCCAGTGGGTTTTGAAACCTCAAGGGTGCTTATGAATGGCCACTCACACTGAGTTGAACTGGGAACAGAAGGAACATGACCCTGAAGAGATCCTGGAATTTCCTTTCTTGAAGATCTAATGCCCACTGGTTTGGGCGCCATTTGCCTACTGCTAATAACAGCTGAACCTTGTGGAGTGTTTACTGTGCTGCCAGGCACTGGACTGGGCACTGTTATACCAAATTGTTTAACTCTTATCCATTTGCAGATGAAGGAATAGGGACCCAGAATGGCTAGTAGTGGAGCAAGATTCAATTTAGGTTTGTTGACTTGGATTCTGTACTGTTAACACTATGCTGGCTGAGTCCTCAAAGATCAGATCTAACATGGCTGCCTTGTTTTGTAAAATTAACTACTGGACCAAAGGCCAAAGCGACCTTCTCCCAAATGGCTTCCTGGCCCTGCAGAAGACTGTGGGCAAAGTGCGTGGTGCCTCCACCAGCCCCTCAGGTTCTACATGTGTTCTAGGGTTTCACACAAGCATCTTCTCGATGGCTGGTGGACAGAAGCCTTTCTTTTGTTATGTACCTTGGCATTTCTGAATCTTCAGTAAAAGAGGACATTATTTTAATACTATTTTTTGGACTAGGTCATATATTTACAAGGTAAAAACATGCAATAAACTAGGAATAAAAGGAAATTTAATGAGCCTGATAAAGGGCATCTATAAAAAACCCCACAGCTAACATCATACTTAATGGTAAAAGACTGAAAGACTAAGATCAGGAACAAGAGAAGGATGTCTGTTCTCACCACTGCTGTTCAACATTGCACTAGAAGTCTAGCCAGGCAAGAAAATGAAATAAATGGTACCCAGATTGGAAAGGAAGAGTAAAACATCTCTACTTGCTGATAACATAAGCTGTGTATAGAAAATCCTAACGAATCCACACACAGAACAACTAGACTAAAAAGCCAGTTCAGCAAGGTTATAGGATAGAAGACCAATATATAAACATCAATTCAATTTCTATATACTAGCAATGAACATTATGAAAATGGAATAAAGGAAAGCATCAAAAAGAATAAAATACATAGGAATAAATTTATCAAAAGAAGTACAAGACTTATACATAGGAAACTATAAAACATCACTGAAATAAATTTAAAAAGCCCTAAATAAGTGAAAAGACATACTGTATTCACAGATTGGAAGATGTAATATTGTTAAGATAGCAGTGCTTCCCAAATTGGCCTACAGATTCAATGCAAGTCCTATCAAAATCCCAGGTACTTTTTTTTGCAGAAATGAACAAATTGATCCTAAAATTCATACAGGAATGCAAGGGACCCAGAATAGCCAAGGCAATCTTAAAAAAGAACAAAGTTGAAGGACTCGTACTTCCTATAAAAGTAAAGTAAGTAAAACTTATGCAAACTAGCAGTAATCAAGACAGTGTGGTATTAACATAAGGATAGACACACAGACCAATGGAGTAGAATTGTAAGTCCAGAAATAAATCCATACATCTTTGGTCAATTGATTTTCAACAGGATGCCAAGACTATTTAACAGGGGAAAGAATAGTCTCGTCAACAAATGCTCTTGGGAGAACTCGATATCCACATGTAAAAGGATGAAGTTGGATCCCTACCTCACATTGTATTAAAAAATTAAGTCTAAATGGATCAAAGACCTAAATATAGGAGCTAAAAGTATAAAACTCTTAAGAGGAAGCATAAACATAAATCACCAGGATCTTGGATTAGGCAGTGGTTTCCTTTTTTATTTGAAGTTGAATGTTTTATTATTAAATTTTTTTCTCCTGCAAGGCTGTTGCTTCACTTTTTAAAAATAGCACCAGCGAACACAGTGTACTGCAAAATTAAGACAGTATTGTTCATCATCTGACACTAACAATTAACAGGAACTTTTCTCCACTGCCAGTTATTTTCAATGGAAAGATCATTAAGTATTTTGACCCAAATCCAGAGAATGGATGCAAGCAAGTTACAATATTATATAGGCCTTAGGGTAATAATGTTATCATTGAATTACATAATTTCTTTTTTTTTTTTTTTAGCTGAGCCATCCTGCCACCTGTTGGCAGCTCAGTGGCAGCTCAGCTAGGGCCAGGAATTGAACTGGCAACCCTATCGCTCAGAGCTCGCACTCTTGAGCAAGCTCTTAACCGACTGAGCCACTTGGTTGGCCCTGAATTACATAATTTTTATAACTAGATTTTACCACAAATAATTTCAGGAATTCTGAATATTATGACTGTAGCCTAGCCTAAAAAAATCATAGGGTGTTGTGAAGAAGATGCATATTGTGTTTATCTGTAATCATTAGAAAGTTAAGGAGTATTTTCTTCCAGTAGCATTGTTGTAGTTATTTTTTCCATTAGTATTACTAAAAGTTGCTGTTTTAAATCTTTCCACCACTAATTTAAGATCACTATGCTAGATTAAGTTGTTTCATACTACTTTATTTGGGGGGGGGTTCCATTTTCACTCCTCTAGATTTTATGTATTTCTCATATGCTTCTTCACTCATTAGTTCGTCTGGTTCTGAAGGGTTACTCAGCGTCATCTTGAGCAGCCAACCATCTTCATAATAACATTTGTTGACAAGTCCTGGATTTTCTGCAAGAGCTTCATTAATTTCAGTTACTTCTCCTGATAGAGGAGAGTAGAGTCTACTAGCAGCTTTCACACTTTCCAAAGCACCAAACTCATCCGAGAGCAGATTGGGGCCGGTTCGAAGCATCCAGACGGTGCCCACCCTCAGGCCCAGGGTGGAGGTGGGCGGGGGCGGTGGGCACCGAGGTGGTGCAGGCTGTAGGGCGGGGAGGTAGTGCACCACACGCTCTGAGATGCTTGCAGTGCCCTGTTTGCAGGCAGGCAATGGTTTCGTATGACACCAAAAATACAATGAACAAAAGTAGACAAATTGGACTTCATTAAAATTAAAAACGTTAATGCTTCAGTTGGTACCATCAAGGAAGTGAAAGGACAACCCACTGAATGGGGAAAAAAATAGTACACAAATATTCAAAGCAGCATTATTTATAATAGACAAAAAGTGGAAGCAACCCAAATGTTTATCAGCAGATGGATGAAGAAAACGTAGTCTCTCCATACAATGGAATACTATTCAGTTGTAAAAAAGGAATGAAGTTCTGATACATGCTACAATATACATGTACCTGGAAAATATTATGCTAAGTGACAGAGGCCAGACACAAAAGGCCACATCTTTTATTATTTCATTTATATGAAATATGGAAACAGAACATAGATTAGTGGTTGTCAGAGCTGGGGCTGGGTGGATTGGGAGTGATTGGTAATAGGTATGGGATCTCACGTGGCGATGAATGAAAATGTTCTAAAATTAGTGGTGATGGTTGCACAACTTTATGAATATATTAAAATCATTAAACTCATTAAAATCATTAAAATCATGTACACTTTAAAAGGGTGAATTTTATGGTATGTGAATTATATCTCAAAAAACCCCAAAAAATCCATCCTGCAAAAACCAAAAAATATTGAGAATGAAAAGATTAATGAATCTATTTATATTGTATGTTCTTGAAAATGTATCTCAGAGTTTGTTCTATGTCAGTACTTATAAAGTACTAGATAACTGCACAGTAATTCTCTATTTTGAATACATGTTGATGGACATTTAGGTCATTTCCAGCCTTTGCTATTGCAGATAATGCTGCACTGAATATCCTCATAGACATGCCATTTCACAAAAGCAGGGTATTTATGAGATCAATTCCTTAAAAAAAGAAAAGAAACAGAAAAGACATAACTAAAAAAAGAGATCAATTCCTAGGATAATTGCTAGGTCAAAGAGAGTTTGCATTTTAGTGTTACCAATATTGCCAAACTGCTGTGCATAAAGAAATTGTACCAATTTGCCCTCCTCCCAGCCATGTACCAGCAGGCCTGTTTGCCCACACCTTCACCCACACAGTCAGTTATCCAACCTTTTGATTTTGGCCATCTGATAGGTCACCCTCGATATCTTACTTGCGTCTACATTTGCCTTTCTCTGTTTATGAGAGAAGCTGGAAAGATCATTTATATTCCTCATATTCTCGGAAGCTCTCAAAGCTGTTCTAGGATTGAAGGATGTAGAATTCACGACGGGAAAGCAGAATCGGGGCTCACCCACCAGGGACGCTGCCTGGGAACACTCCGGAATAGGGTGTGAGTCATAATATGAACTAGCTTTACCATCATTAATCACAGATGTCTGTTGGGCTTCTCTTTGTGGGATGCTCTTCCAGGTTCAGAAGAGAAGCTGGTTAATCAGGAAGACGCTCTCAGGGCTGTAAAGGTCATTAAATATTGAAAGTGCAGTTCTTCCATTGCTCTCGCCTACACGTGAATTAAGAAGCACATATAATATCAAGAGGCTGGCAGATATGAGTGGCCTGATGTTATGTCTAAACGCATCAAATGGGCACGGCTCACGCTTACACAAACCAGATCTAGGTAAAATGAGCGGAAAACCTCTGAAAAATAGTCACAGCTTTATTTTGTGTTTTCTTTCAGGAACTGTCTACCTTGACCATGCAGGAGCCACACTGTTCCCCCAGAGTCAGCTCGCGAGCTTCACTCAGGATCTCACGGAAAACGTTTACGGTAAAGAAAAACACGCCATGACTGATTTTTGCATTGAGCATTGGCCAACTACGCTCAGCTGATATTTTTCTGCTTCATTAATGTTGGGTTAATAGACTGGGACCAAATGGTGCACCCATAACTGAATAAGCCCCGTGGAGATGGCGTCAGGCAAACACCCAGGGTCATTCCTTCTAACACGTGTTGCTGGGATGGGAGAACTGGCTGAGGGACACAGGGCACCAGTGTCAAGAAGGGCACCGAGGTACAAAAGTGAAGTATTTGGTGGTGTGATGACCCTGTGGGACTGGCACAATACAGAGAATAGGACAATAGGAGGAACATTCATTTATTTACTCCATAAGTATTTGTTGAGCCACTCTGGAGTTGGGGTGTCGTGCTATAATGGGAACAAAGTAAACACAGTCCCTGCCTTCATGGACTCTGCTGTGCTTAAGATCTTAATCAAGTGATCTCCAAATATATGTAAACTACCAGCTGTGTGAAGGGCTGTGAACAAAAGGCCTTTGGTGTGTGTGTGTGTGTGTGTGTGTGTGTGTGTGTGTGTGTGTGTAGGGGTGTGTGGGGGGTCTGGATATGCAGAGTGACAGTGGGTTGGCAGTGTGAGTGTCAGGGAAATTTCCTCAGGAGTGGGGGGAATGCTGGAGGATGAATAGGAATTCACTTGGAAAAGAGGAGGAAAAGGACATTTCAGGCAGAGGAGACAGCATGAGCCAAGACCCTGCTTGTGGTTTCAGGAACCCGCCCAGGAACACAGAGGGAGGGGAGGGGAGGGGAGGAGAGCAGTGGGTATATTAATATGAATGGAGAGGTAGGTAGATGCACATAGGTCCTCTGTAGGGTTTGATCTATAGTCTAGAATCAATGGGCAGTCATTGACGGCGTGAATCAGCAGCATAACATGATCAGGAGGTAACTTGGGAAAGGGAGTTTGAAATAACAATAGTAGTAGATGTAGTACTGGTAATGATAACAGCAATAAAGAACAATAATTTATAAATAATCTGTACCGAGCAGTCGTTGCACTTCAGGCACTGTTCCAAGTGCTTCATGTCTATTATCTTTCCATCTCACCACAAGCTAAGTTACAGCTTCTGTTACCAAACAAGCTAAGGTACAGGTTCTGTTACCACCCTGGTTGTACAGGTGAGCAAACCGGGTCCCAGAGAGGGCAGGAGATGCCTCTGAGGCCACACAATTGGGAAATGCTGGAGCTGGGGGAGGTGGGGGACCAGAGTCTCTAGGCAGTTTGGCTTCAGAGTGCAAACCCTTAACCTCCACCAGCCTCGGCTCCTGACGGCCCTGTCATGCCACACTAGGGCTCTGGGTAGCCAGCAGATATTTAAGCCCGGGGAACAGTCTCCAGGGAAGATGTCAGCGAGGGACTTTATCTTGATTTCAATCAATGATATATGTAAAGAGACCTTACAATGATTTGTAAAGAGACCTGCAATTCTCCTTTGTTCAACTTTGCAAGAGTCATAACCATGGGAAAGGTGCTGGCCTGAGAAATGACAGAATTGAGACTGAAGGCGGTTATTAATGATGTAGGGTTAAAAACCAAGGTGAGGAAAGGCAACCTGGGTAAGCATCAAGTCCCACAGGCTATGAGCTGATATGGAAAAGGAACATTGGTAGCTTCAATGGCCAGACATCCAGCGTGACCCTACAGTGTGGTTTGAGAAAACAAAAGCCCCAAAACAAACAAACAAAAATCCCAAGATTTGCCTTCACGTCCATGTGTGATGCTGCTCCTGAAAAAAGCTAGTGGCTGGGCCCTTTGAAAGGTCTGTGTTCACATCTGGGGGTCGTGTTTTGAAGGAGATAATGATACTCTGGGACACAGACACAGAGGACACCAGGAGTGGGGAGAAAAAGTGGAAATTGACAAAGGAAGGGTAAAATTGGGAGATCCTTTATCCTCGAGAACAGGTGGCTAAGGGGAGTCATGATGGCTCCTGTCACGTGTTTGGAGGAGGAGATAGATGTGTTTCTGCAGGAACAGTGCCAGTAGCAGGGGTGTGAGCACAGGAAACAGATGGGGACTTAGGTTAAGGGGTGTCCATGGCTCTGTCTCCTGGTTCCGGGAAAGGCAGCCTCCTGAGGTTGTGTACTTAGCTTCCTGGAGTTAAGGAACAGAACCAGGCTGGCCCTCTGATGGAAACTTGTAGAAAAGCTTCTTGCATTGACCTGGCTGCCTCTGAGCCAACTTCCAGCTCCAAAATGCTATCCTGGATCCTATCTTGTTTTACTAGTGAGGGGAGGGTTTTTTTTGCTTTTGTTTGTTTAACAGCTTTCTTGAGTTATATTTTATATATCATAAAATTGTCCTATTAATATTTGAGGTGTACAATTCAGTGATTTTTAGTAACGTTACCGAGTGGTACAACCATCACTATAGATTATTTAGAACATTTCACCCCCGCAATAAGATCTCTGATGCCCATTTACAGTTGATTGTTTCCCCCCAACACTCCATCCCTCACCCCCATTCCCCCACCCATGCCCAGTCAACCACTAGTCTATTGAACAATACTTTCTGTATCTCTATACAATCATCTCTGCTGAACATTTCATATAAATGGATTCATACAGTATGTGATCTCTTGTGTCTGCCTTCTTTCACTTAGCATGCTTTTGAGGTTCATTTATGACATAGCCAGTAGTTTGTTCCTTTTTAATGCCGAATAATTTTCCCTTGTATGGATATGCCACATTTTATCTATCTGTTCACCCATTAATGGAAATTTATGTTCCCAGAATTTGGCTTTACACATAGAGCTGCTACGAACATTCTTGTGCATGAATCTTTGTGTGGACATGTTTTCATTTCTCTTGAGTATATAGGAGCAGAATTGCTGGGTCATATGGTAGTTTTATGCTTAACTTTTTGAGGTACTGAAGGAGAGGGTTTGGGAGGAACACAAAAGGAGAGACCGTAAGTAGTGACTCGATGGTTTTGTCTTTGTCAACTGCCAGGTAATCCTCACAGCCAGAACATCAGCAGCAAGCTCACCCATGACACTGTGGAGCAGGTGCGCTACAGGTGAGCAGTAGGGGCGCCAGCCTGAGTGGGCACTCCCAGGTGTATAGACTTCTTTCTTACAACCTGCCTGCACCCCACATAGGTTCTGAACTGGTTTCAGGAAGATCACATTCAGCTAAATGGCCACACATGCACACTGATAAAGATCAGGGTCAGAGGATGGGAAGGTGAGAGTGAGTAGGCGCCCAGCAGGGTGTACCAGAAGCACAGGTAGGCAGCTCACAGGTGTGCACAGGTGTGTGTGTGTGACTCTAGGCTGTGGCCAGGGTTCCTGGGGACCAGAGTGACGAAGAGTGACCCAGGTTCCTAAGTCTTGCTTTCAGATTGAAGAGAACCAGTTTCATATTTCATTAGGCATCTTGTTTATCTTTCTCCACCTTTTTACTAATATTTGCATGTTAAACAGTTCTTTATATTTTTCCACATGTAATAATTGGTAAATAATTTCCAGGTGGTAGCTAAAGTTACTTGAATCGATACAATTTCAAATTGTTTTTAATTTGAAAAGGATACTGGGTTGCCAATATTAAAAGCACCCTGAAACAAGTTGATGACGTAAAACTTGTTATGACAGAGCTGGCTAGCAGACCAAGGAGGGGGTGTTTCCAACTAAGGGGAAGGTACTTATGGATTTTTGTCTTATCCCATGTGGGGTGGGGGCTTGAGAAGTAAGGTGATTTTGCCAGTTTGAATCCATTTGTCATCTCTTCCCACAACTTCCTCTATACCTCCCCTAACGTCACGGTTGTGGCTAAGCCTATCTGAGTTTTTCCCTAGCTATTAAGGTAAAGCGATGTCATAGTTAGTAGAAATGCAGCTAATTCCAAACATTGAACAATGGAGAAAGACCAAGTTTTTGCCTCGATGCTGTGCTTCTTCTAGGATTCTGGCGCACTTCCACGCCTCCCCAGAGGACTACAGTGTGATTTTCACAGCCGGAAGCACGGCTGCTCTGAAACTGGTGGCAGAGGCCTTCCCGTGGGTGTCCCCAGGCCGGGAGAGCAGCGGGAGTCTGTTCTGTTACCTCACTGACAGCCACACCTCTGTGGTGGGCATGAGGACGGTGGCCAAAGCCATGAATGTCACCTCCATCCCTGTCAGGCCAGAGGACATGTGGTCGGCGGAGAAACGGGGCGCTGCCGCCAGAGACCCCAACTGCCAGCTTCCGCATCTCTTCTGTTACCCAGCTCAGAGTAACTTTTCTGGAACAAGGTACCCCCTGTCCTGGATAGGAGAGGTCAAGTCTGGGCGGATGTGCCCTGTGAGCACGCCTGGGCAGTGGTTCATGTTATTGGATGCCGCTTCCTATGTGAGCACCTCGTCTTTGGACCTGTCGGTTCACCAGGCCGACTTCATCCCGATCTCCTTCTATAAGATCTTCGGCTTCCCGACCGGCCTGGGCGCTCTGCTGGTGCATAACCGTGTGGCTCCTCTGCTGAGGAAAAGCTACTTTGGAGGAGGCACAGCGGCTGCGTACCTTGCAGGAGATGACTTCTATATCCCGAGACAGTCGGTGGCAGAAAGGTAACCTCGCCATGGGAGTGGCTCGGGCAGAGTTCAGCAAGGCTGGAATCTGGCCTGTGCCACCTGTAGGATTGTGTAAGGGACCAGGCTGGGCCACTGGGGTCAGAGGAGTTGGCCATAGCTGGCAGGGATGGATGCTGGTGGCAGGGCTCAGCTCTGGGAGGCAGAGGTGGGTGGAAGTATGCCCTCGTTTGTGGGAGAACAAAGGCCTGCAGGTAAGTAAGGGCTTGCGCAGAAGAGGTGAAAGGCTGTCAAGAGAGGAAGGAGGGTGTGTTACCAGGCCTTTGACCAGGGTGCTGACAAGAGGTGACAGCAACTAAAGCAGTGATTTAAAAGATTTGGAACAAGTATGTGTGCATACTCGTACACATTTACAGCACAGCTGATTTTCAGCAGCTAGAATCAGCTCAGCTTGGGCCTAGTTGATAAGAGGAACCAATTAACCCTACCAGACCGCTGTACCGATTTTTCGGTAATTTCCGGTACTTTGCCTAGTATGTGAAAAAAAAGCATCACAAACTAAAAATAACCAACCAATCGTGGTCAAACCTCATGGTTAGCCATTGCAAATGTCTGCCCCCATGTGTTTGAATTGACTTTGTGTGGTTTGATGTGAAAAAATTCTGAAAATTCACAATGAGCCCAGGTATAGGGGACAGTTAGGTTCAGGGCCTCACGTCTGGTAGGGTTAAACTAGAGGCCACCAGACTTGTGGGGCACTGTTAACAGCAGCCTCTGTGAGTCATTGTGAGTTACAAAGGATGTATGAAGGCAGGCATACTTGCCCTCAAATGGCATAGGCCCCTGCTGAGGTTTGTTGGTATATGTGTCTTTCTCAGGCTGCAGGGCAGGCGACGCGGGTTATGTCCAGGAATTCCCCAGATGGCAATGACTGGGATCTGTGAGGTTCAATGTGTGAGAGGGTAAAAATGGTAGCTGCCCCAGGGTTCGTTCTATTGGGTCCAATGGCAGGGGATACCATGGGGTTAGGGCAGGGAGCTAGTCATCCTGCTGGTACCTGACAAGGCCCAGGACCTGGATGGGAAGGTGGGTCAGATCCCGCTCAGACCCAGGTGCAGACTCAAAGGTCCTGCAGATAAAGGCCTTGGCAGTAGAGTCACCTGTCAGGTGTGAAGACCCTACAGCAGGACCAAGCTGGGAGTGAATGCCGGCTCCACGGCACAGCAGCTGTGAGATCAGGGGATGTGACTTGATCTCTGTATCTCCTCTGTTTTGCCTATAACGTAGGTCTCTAAAAGGATGTGGTTCTTTAGAGCTAATATAAGCGAAGCACCAAGATAACATTATGAGGCTCTTTGATGCCGCTTTTATTAGGACTTGTCCGTAGTTGGGGGAATACTAAAACAGGAACGCTAATGTAAAACGTTTGAATCGAAGTATGATGGTATAGCATGTAATATGAGTATAACCAAGTGAGAAGAGAATGACAGGCTCAACGTCATATAAATGAAAGGGAGAATGAAATGACAGTCCAAACTTTATTGAGCCAACAGGGCACCTGAACACCAGGAGGACCAGGGCAGCTCATGGGCAGGGTGTGAGTGGGTGGGGCTGGACCAGACCTCTTCCCTTCGATTTGGGTGGCTTGCTTTACAGCAGGTGCCATACCAAGATTCCCAGAAAGCTGAATGTATTTATTTTCCATTGGAAGCCTAATTTTTTTTTTAAGATTTTTATTGGGGAATTGGGGGATGGGAACAGCGCTGGGGAATTGGGGGAAAGGGAACAGACAAGTTGCTGTCGTCTTGTTCCTCAGTCTAGCTGTGGAGGACGTTGCTTCACTGGCCCAAGTTGGCACCATCATTGCGCTCTTCCCGGGTGAGGCAGATCAGCCGCCGGCTTCTGGACGGCCGCTCACTGCGGCTGCTGGCCGCTCACACTGACTGCTGGCCACACATGGTAGCCCATGGCAACCCACTGCCACAGGGGCTGCAGCTTACGCCGTCGCTAGCAACTCATGGCAGCCCAGCTCCAGGTTGAGCTGTTGTTCAGCATCTTAGCTGTAGAGGGCAGTGTCACTGGCCCTCATATGTGGGATCCGAACCGGGGCCTCTGGCGTCCCAAGCCAGCTCTTAACCAACACGCCACTCAGCCAGCCCCCAAATGTTTCTTGAACATGCACCTGGACCATGTTCTTAGGCTTTTCTATTTGATACCCAATGAGATACAACCTTTGATGGAAACAAAAAAACTTCCTTTCCCCCTAAGAGTCTATTAATGATCATTTAATAAATAATTATTAATGATCAATTAATAACTTAAAGTCATTATTGGCTAATAATGTTTAATTGATTAAAATCAATTAATCATTAAATCATTAGTGATTAATCAATTAGTAATTGATTCATTATTGATTCATTGTTAATTCTGTATGTCCAATAATTACCATTAGTTTTATAAGGAAATTAATATTGCAGTAGCAGTATTTTGAGCGAATCTTATCTCTAGAGTATTAAAATTTCCATTGAAATTTTATTTTCAATGGTATTTCCATTGAAAACAGCATTTCCATTGAAAACTTCAGCTTGTGTAAGGCTGCCATTTGTCACCATCCTTTATCCCGACGCCTGCTGAAACCTCCCCATTGTCTCCCGCCTTCCCGGCAGCCAGAGGCGTCTTGTCAAAGCCTAGGTCACACCTTATCCCTCTTCTCTGGTCAGCGCCCTGGAGCCCGTCTTCTCATCCAGGGCGGAAGTTCCCTGACTGTATCTGCTACCACTCCCTGCCTTGTCCACAGTCTCCTGGCCCCAAAGACCTCCTTGCTGTTGGGGCGGTGTGCTAGGCAGGCTGCTTAGGACTTTTGCTGCACTCTCTCCCTGGAACGTTGTTCCCCTTGAAACCGTGAATTTAACTGTTTCAAAAATGAGCCGTTTCCCTCGCTCCCTTACTCCCTTCCACCTGGTTCTGCTCAGGTGATCTCCCTGGGAGAGGACCTTCCTTGACCATTCATCTTGTCTAGAGCAGCTGCCAGCCCTCTGACTTATGCATCTTCGTTGCACTTGTCACCACCTGGCTTGTTGCTTATTTGGCTTTTCTCTGCATGTTTGTCGCTTGTTGTTCCTTGTTTCTATGCTCCCAGGAGAATGGAAGTGCTGTGAGGGCAGGGATTTTACCTGTTATGTTCACTGCCGCGTCCTTAGCATCTAGGACAGTGCCTGACACACAGTAAGTACTTGGACAATAAAGATTTGATGAGTATTTTGGCTAAGTGAGTAATTCTAAAATGCTAACATAATCAACACCGTGATAATCAGGAAGGGGTACATCTGCTGTTTTGAGAGACTTATCATTTTTTACCAAAGCCCATGGTTCTACAGACTTTGGAATCATAGACTCTTGTTAAGAACCCCATAGCTACGTGGTTGGTCACACTGAATTGATGCTGTCAGTCGTGCTTTCTTGGGGTCAAGGGTGGCATTTTAAGAGCCCATAGCGCTTGAGGTTTTGTCAAGTCCAAAGTCTTCCTGGGGACAGCAAAGCGTCTCTCTACTTGTTAATGTCTCAAGATGGTGACTATTTTTTAGGGCCTTTTGTCACCACTGCCAGCCAGCCCATCCTGAGAAAGCTGCAGAGTGGGTCAGGGGCAGAGGCAGTCTGATGGGTGTTGGTATTCAAAACCCTCTGTTCTGTGGGAGAGAGCAATGGTTTATAAGGCAGCAGAGAGAAGGTATTCACAGATTATGGCTGAGCCTAGAATTAAAACCTCGTTACATGCCACAAAATGCACATGGAGAAGTGGCCACAGCTTCACCTTGTTCCCCTCACCATGGTTACAGGTTTGAAGACGGCACCATCTCATTCCTTGATGTGATAGCGCTAAAACATGGATTTGATGCCCTAGAGCGCCTCACAGGTAGGGGGACATTTTTATCTGTGTGGAATTTGCTCCTGTTGCCCATGACCTTGAGGGAGCCTTGGCACGGCTACGATTCAGATGAAAGAGAGAGAGTCTATGTGAGTGACCGGCACATGGCAGTTATACGCTGAATGCAGTTGAAGCTGATTGTAAAGAACTTCAAAGGGATTTCTGAGGCAAGAGCAAGAGACTGACACTTTTTCTTTTTGATCAGTTAAAAGAATGTTTTAATAGTTAAGAGCCACTTCAAATCAGGAAATTAATATTGATAGCTTCACAGAAGCAGAGGAACTGTCCTGAATTCCTGCACTGGGAATGGTTACAGATCCTGACAGCTTATTCAGCTGTTGCCTTGCTTGATTGTCCCTACAGCCCCATGGGGGAGCTCAATGATAAGCCTACTTTATCCACAAAGGAGCTTATGCTCAGAGAGGTTACGTGCCTTCCCCAGGGCCGGGGAGCTGGCAATTGGGAGGGCTAGGATTTAAACCCCGGACATATTAACTCCTTACCTTGAGCCTCTCACCACTGTTTCTACCACTGGCCTTTGCTAAGATGTACATTTTCTTTCCTGATGAGTGCTTGGGGTGTGTGGGCAGATGGGGGTACTCACCACAGGCTGACACACAGACAGATGCCACTTCCCATCATATAGGGCTGACACAAAGGTACATGACTGTAAAAACCTCTGTCTGGTGAGTCAGGCATCTACCATCCTGCTGTGCTCCTGGGTGCTCCTTCCAGAGACTGAGCTTCTAGAAATGAAGGGCACTGCTTGTATCGTTCATATGGAGATGAGGTTGTGGTGAACCAAGGATGTCGCTTAGCGGGTAGGCAGTTCTCTCTCTCTCTCTATCTCTCTCTCTCTCTCCCCTGCTTCCCCTCTCCCTCTCATCCTCTGCCTCCCCCTCCCTCTCCCTTTCCCTCTTCTTCCCTCCCTCTCTCCCTCTCCCTCTCTCCACAGTAATGGGACCCTATAGGTCCCAGCCTTAGCCCAACTGGGAGCAGAGAGGATTCATAGAAAGGAGGGTTACCCTGAAGGTAATGCAGAGAGGTGAGGGGCATCATTCAGGACAAAGAGGAGAGAACCAAGACAGACACTGAGAAATGAACACTTTCCCAAGGAAAGCTGTTAACAAGGTACCCACACCTCATCTGACAGGGTCTGAGAGGGTCAGAGGCATTTTTGAAAGCAGACTGACAATATCACTTGCCCCAAAAGCGAAGTCTGATTTTTCCTACTTAATTGCTCTTTTTAAAAAAGATTGTGGTAAACTATATATAACATAAAATGTACCAGTTTAGCATTTTTTTTTATATTAAGGAGTCTTTGTTAATATTGCTGGGTGTGATAATAAGCAGTTTTTAAGTGTACAATGCAATGGCATTAAGTACATTCACATGGCTATACAACCATCATCACTATTTATCTCCAGGACTTTTTCATCATCCCAAACTGAAACTCTACCCATTAAACAATAACTACCCATTTACCCTCTTCCCAGCCTTCAATAACCTCTATTCTTTCTGTCTCTATAAATTTGCCTATTCTAGGCACCTTATATAAGAGGCATAATACAATATCTGTCCTTTTTTGTCTGTCTTATTTAACTTAGCATAAGGTCTTTAAGATCCATCCGAGGTAGCAGGATGGCTCAGCTAAAAAAAAAAAAAAAAGATCCATCCATGTAGTAGCATGTTAATTGCTTTGTATGACATTAAAATGATTTAAACACTAATAAAAACAAACAGCAAAAAATGATACATTTAAAGGAAAATTGTACATTGTTGCTATCTGTTGCCAAAGGGTCTAAATTATCTGAATGCTTAAGTAACATTATATAAAAAAAAAGAGGATGACCAGAAGGCCTAGGAAAAATTCAGCAATGGTAAACTGTTGTTCAAAGACCTACACCCTTATCATATGGGCAATCCTATACAATATTTACAGGTATTTTAAATCATTAACATTAGGTCCAAGTTTGCCAGGTCTAATCTCATGTTCTTAAAAGCGAATGAAGTTTATGTGAAGCTATCGATTCTCTTTGACATTTCCTAATTGTTTTGGAGGTGGAATGGAGAACGTCATGCAGCACACCTTTACCTTGGCTCAGTACACCTACACTGCCCTGTCCTCTCTCCGGTACCCCAATGGGGCCCCTGTGGTGCGGATTTACAGCGACTCTGACTTCAGCAGCCCCGAGGTTCAGGGTCCAATCATCAATTTTAATGTGCTCGACGACAACGGGAGCGTCATTGGTTATTCGCAGGTGGGTTTTTCTTTTCGTTTTGCTGACCTGCTCACAAGAGACTCACTCTTGTCTGGAACTCTGCAGCCCTGACATTTGCAGTCAAGGCCTCTGAGCCCTTGCAGGAGCTGTAATGAAGCTCACGCATGGTTACAGAGGCCACTGGCTCCTCTTGAGAGAGGATCTATACTCTCATTTACACTCCTTTCTAACAAGCATGGCTATTTAGTTCTTCAGCCCTCTTTATTCAGCCAGAAACAGTCAATTTCAAGTGGGAAGAGACAGGCCAAGGCTCTGATAGCAGTGGAAAGGGATAGCTGAGAGCTTGTCAGCAAGGGAAGACAATTCTGAAATGGTGTAGACAGAAAAGCAGTGTAGACAGAACATCATGTCTCAGGTCATTTTATGTACAGATGGCTTGGTAGCCCCAGCGATACACGAGACCATATCACTGTCACACAGAATCATGGGCTTGTCACCACTATTTGTTTGCATGTTGCTTGGAATGCAGAACTCTTTTGTTGTTGTTGTTGTTGTTTTCAGTTTTGTTTGTTTGTTTAAGCTGAGCCATCCTGCCACCTGTTGGCAGCTCAGAGGCTGCTCAGCTTGGGCCGGGCATCAAACCGCTGTTGCTCAGAGCTCAAACTCTTAAGCGAGCTCTTAACCAACTGAGCCACTCGCCTGGCCCTAGAACTCTTTTATGACAAGTAGAAATGATGTCCTTACTATCACAAAATCCCTTTTTCTGCCATAGTTCATGCATATTATGAATTTAAAGAATTTGGTAGGTTGGTTATAAAATAGTTTCTGCAGATATACCCGGTGTATGTGTTTTCCCATGAAATCAGTGCACGTAGTGGTTTTCATGTTGGGAACTGCTTGGGTCCCTGCCACAGTTGAGTAAGCTGGTCACTGCACAGTCCATTGCAAAATCCAGAATCAGGGCTTGCCGAGTGGCTCAGTTGGTTAAGAGCTCGCTCAAGAGTTTGAGCTCTGAGCAACAGCGGTTCGAGTCCAGCCCGAGCTGAGCAGCGGCTCAGAAAAAAAAAAAAAAAGAAAAGAAAAAAAAAAATCCAGAATCACACCAAGCACTCAGACATGGCGGTCGGTGGTCACCAGACGGGGTGTCACAGACTGGGCACGGGGCGCCCAAGGCCCTTCCCACAATCCAGGTTCCTACAGCTGCTCTGAGGAGCAGATTTGATAATCAGATAAGTTTGGAAGATGGCGACCTTCTTCCCTTGTAAGCCACCATCCATTCCCATACACCTTCTTTAAACCTTGGATTTCTCAAACAAAATCTGTTTCTCAAGGAATCAATTTCCCCCTTCTTCTGAATAGCCGTACGCTTTCCGAAAAATAAACTGTAGAAATATTCTTCAGCGGGAAATGTTGGTTTCCACTGGTGTTTGCAGACAGCTGCTCTACAACCACAGGGGGTCTCTTGGGTAGGTTGACTGCACACCCCACAGCCTCTTAGTCATCCACCTGCAGAAGCAGCCCCAACACACCCAGAAAGAAACATGTCATTTAAAATGGCTTTTTTTTGGGGGGTGTGTGTGTGTGTGGAAAATGCATCAGAGGCAAAAGATTTGCCTCCTTAAATATGATATGCTAGGTCATTGGTAAAATAAGTTTCATTCTTGAACTTATTTTAATAGGTTTGTATTTCCCGAGGAGCACAGGGGAGGGCAGATGGGCCAGTGACGTGTGCTGTCGCAGGCAGAGCCAATTTGCATTTCCCTGGTGATTAGTGGCATCGAGCACCTTTTTATGTACCTGTTGGTCATTTGTGTCTCTCATTTGAAGAAATGTCTATTCAGATCTTCTGCCCGCTTTTTAATTGGATTGTTTGTTGTACATGGAAGCTCTTAACTTGGAATTTGGCCTATTTTCACTTTTCTCAGGCATACACCTATAACCCAACTGGATAAACTAATTATCAGCAACATTTTATAAAGTGTGTTTTGTAAACCCGTGATAGGTCCTGGTGCTTTATAGCAAACTTCCAGGCTCATATTTTGATTTTACTGTTAGGAAAGAGGGGCCCAAATATTGGTCTGATGCTCTCTCCCGGGCAATCAAAGCAAAACTAGGCATCCCTTAACACTGTTCCATGTCGCATTAAACCTGCAGGTGGACAAAATGGCCAGTCTTTACAACATCCAAGTGCGAACTGGCTGCTTCTGTAACACTGGTGCCTGCCAGAGGCACCTGGGGATCAGTGACGAGATGGTCAAGAAGCATCTTCAGGTTGGTACCAGACCCTGTGTCCTAAATGCTTGTTAGCGAGACCCAATGGCAGTACCCCTAACTACACTGGAAGCTGGTTCATTTCTCTGAGCACACCCTGTGGATGTGCAAAGGAAAAGAGTTCAACAAAGATAGAAAAGGCTTCAAGACAACATCTCTATGAAGTCATTTTTTAACTTTTTTTTTTTTTAATTTTTTGGGGAACTGTGTTTTTCCCAGGACCCATTAGCTCCAAGTCAAGTTGTTGTCCTTCAATCTTAGTTGTGAAGGGTGCAGCTCAGCTCCAAGTCTAGTCGCTGTTTTCAATCTAGTTGTGAGGGGCGCAGCCCACCATCCCATGCGTGAGTTGAACCGGCAGCCTTGTTGTTAAGAGCATGCACTCTAACCAACTGAGCTACCTAGCCACCCGTCGTTTTTTACTTTGAAGGTAAACATTTAAAGGCGGAAGAGGGTCTTTAACAGGAGGCAAGCTTATGTGGGAATATTCTCATGAATGCAGAGGGTCCTTACCTAGTTCAGTCCTACCAGAGAAAAATCTCCAAGCTAGCATTAGCTCGGCGCTGGGCTGGGTGAGGAGAGGAACCCCTCTAGGGGGCATTCTGCAACTGTCAGAACCCTCTTCCTCCCTGCCTACCCCCCCAAGCAGAGGTTTTTCATGTCAGGGTACAGCCTGTTTTGAACCATTTCATCAGAATAGTTTGAGTGGCAAAGAGCCCTTATTTATTTTGGACTAGTTTGTAACGTGAGTTTCTTTTGGTTGCCGCTGAATATTGTATGTACTAGATCCCAACCAACCATGAACTGGGTCTTATTTAAAAAGAGAGAGAAGCTCAGAACACAAACAAATGAAGTTGCAGATATAATATTTGATCCTGTGGAATGCCATGGCCGCCTCTGTTTGTGCCTGACCTGGGTTCAGCACTGGGGGAGGAAAGTGTCCGGGACAGTGACCATCACAGCTGAGCTTGGAGATGTTTGTGAACCTCTTGCTTTTCTCTCCCCACCTCCCAGCAGGGCACTTATGCTGCCTTTGGTCTTTGTAGTGGCCTCAGGCTGGTCCTTCATAGGGGCAAGCATCTCTTTCTTGGCCTCTTGTCAAAGGGCAGCTCTCAGGGGTGCAGGCCTCCCTGTGGTTCTGAGAGGCTAAAGGGAGTGGCCAGCAGGTGTTTCTCCCACCTTGGCTCTGGGAAGACTAAGGAGTTGACCCCTCAGTGCTTCTGAAACTCTGGTCTGTCTTTTGATCCCTCCGTGAGTTGGCTATGTGCGCAGCTCTGCGTAAATACTTTCCATGAAGTATTACTTTTTTTTGGTGTTTTTTTTTAGAAAATTTATTGGGAAACAGTGTGTTTTTCCAGGACCCATCAGCTCCGGGTCAAGTAGTTGTCTTCAATCTAGTTGTGGAGGGTGCAGCTCCTTGGCCCATGTGGGAATTGAACCGGCAAACTTGGTGTTATGAGCCTGCACTCTAACCACCTGAGTTATTACTTTTAAACTCTTTAATGATCCCTTGAGATAGGCATTCACCCCAATTTACACAAGCAAAGTGAGACCTAGAAAGTGAGCTCCTTTGCTTGTGGAACTATGTCTCAGGCACACCATACATATTATCATTGCAGTTCTGTTTTCTGGGTCAATTTTGTTTTATAAATTGAAGAAAATTTGTTTTACAAATGTTTCCAATATATCTCTGAGGAATGAGTCACTCTGGCTGACTTATTTTCCTTTTCTACTAGGCTGGTCATGTCTGTGGAGATGATGTGGACCTCATAGATGGACAGCCCACAGGATCTGTGAGGATTTCATTTGGATACATGTCTACACTTGAGGATGCCCAAGCCTTTCTCAGGTTCATCATAGCAACCCGACTGCGCCTGTCAAGTGGCCAGGCTATCCCTCAGGACACTCTCAGGGAGGCTGGCACTCCACTAGCAGAGAGCGAGGCTCAGAACGCCGTGACTGCCACCATGAACGGATGTAGGCCCTCACCTCAGGAAGATACTTGCACAGACTCCAGGGTTTGGAATGACCTGCTCACAGCTGTGGATGCTGTGGGTTTGCACTCACCTGTGCTGGAGGCCACCAGGACGCAGCAGACCTCTTCAGAGAAAGCTGCAGGAGCCCTTGATGGAGGCCTTGGGCCACATATCATCACCAACCTTTACCTCTATCCAATCAAATCCTGTGCTGCATTTGAGGTAAGGCTTTTAATGGCAGCACAGTGACTGTTTTCTTTTGGTTTACTTTATAATATCTTTTGACAAGTGAAGTAAAAAGTGCAGAAAGTGAAGAAAAGCATGCAGAAAATCCTACTCATATTCAGGGTATTGTGATTTATGAAGAGCTGTTCTCATTCTGCCTTTCTTCGTTTGGGCTGACTTTCTAATATGGCTCTGCTTGTGGGGACCCCTGAGAGGACCCTGTTTCTGAGTGGTGAACACCTAGTTACTGTTAATAATTATGGATGTAACTTTCATTGAATGCATGGGTTGGCTTCTGGCTGACACATTTTATATGCTTTGTTTTATTCGATTCTTAAAACAGTAATCCAAGGTACATGGTAATATATTTCCCATTTTGTAGATATAGAGCCTGAGAGCTACTGAATTGAAGCTTTTTACCCGGGTCACCAGCTGATAAGTGATAGAATAAGGATTTGAACCCAGGTCTGCTGACTCCTTGGGTGCTCTTATGTGACTTGTTCTGCTCAGCCCTCCCCATGGAAGTGAACTACGTTAAAATGTGCTTGCCTTGGGCCGGCCGAGTGGCTCAGTTGGTTAAGAGTGCGAGCTCTGAGCCAACAGGGTTGCTTGTTTGATTCCCACATGGGCCAGTGAGCTGCGCCCGAGCTGAGCTGCTGCTGAGCTGGTAAGAGGTAGGGACGAGGGAGCTCTCTGGGGTCTCTTTTATAAGAACATTAATCTCATTCATGAGGGCTCCACCCTCATGACCTACTAATGTCCCAAAGTTGCCACCTCCTAATAACTTCACACTGGGGGTTAGGATTTTAACATGAAGTTTAGGGGACGCAAGCATTTAGTCCATTGCAGTGGGGTTCCTAGATTCTATTTGGAGGTGGTAGGAAAGGCTTCTTGAGGAGGGGACATTTAATCTGAGACCTGGGGGTCAGGCATACAGAGAGGCGGAAGAGCATTCCAGGTAGAGGGAATAGCACGTGAGGAGACCCTGAGGTGAGAAAGAGCCTGGTGCATTGGAGAAACTGAAAGAAAGCCGTGTGGCCATGTGGGGGGTGGGGAGGAGGCTGAGCGTTGTGAGATGTGGTAAGCAGGGACTAGATTACATAGGGCTACATGGTTTAGTGGCTTTAGTCGAAGTGGAGTTAGTCTAAGCTACTGAAGAGCTTTTAGCAAGGGAGTCTCTTGATCTCATTTCTGTTTTAGAAAGATCTTACCTGCTGCTGAGTAGACACTGCCTATGGGAGGGCGAGGGATGAAGCAGAGAGGTCAGTTAGGAGGCATCACGGTAGCCCAGGCAAGAGATTACAGGAGGTTCTATTAAAGCCACTATTACTTATTGGCAAGTGCCCCAGGGAATATTCTAGACTTTGCAGGCCATGCAATCTCTACTGTGACTACACAGCTCTGCCGTTGTAGCATGAACGCAGTCACAGACTGTATACCTTAACAAATGAGCACACCTGTGGTTCAACAAAGCTTTATAAAAACAGGCAGTGGGTTGGATGTGGTCTGTGGGCCACAGTTTGCTGAAACCCTGGACTGAAGTGGCAGCTGAGGGGGAGAGAAATAAAAAATGTCAAAGTGTTTTGTTCATAGAGTCTATGGGTTGGATGTGGGGTGTGAGGGTGAAGAAGGCGCGTAGGAGGACTGGAGCTGCTGCGTCCATAGTGATGGTGCTGATGAAATGGGGAAGGCTGGGAGAGGGGCAGGCCTGAGGGAGAATCTGGAGTTGCCCAGGGCAAGTCCGAGGTGCCCGCGGATGTGTGAGTCTGACGCTCAGAGGAGAGGGCTGGGCCGGAGCTAGAAATGGGGAGCCATCAGCATTTGGAGCGACTTGTCTGGGGAATGGATGAAATGACCCAGGGAGAGGGTGTGTAGAGAAAAAAGAAAGGCTCCACTGAGCCCCGAGGTGTCCTAACATTGGCAGGTTGGGGGAGAGGAGGAGCAGGCAGGGGAGACTGAGGGGAGTAGCCCCGGGAGGGGAGAGGCGACAGGGTGCCAGGAAGTAGGTCGGGGGTCAGTTGTCCTCATGCTGCTGAGGAATGAAAAGAGGCCTTGTCTCTGGCGTCATCTGACAGCTGGACCATGGCGCTACCGACGAGTGGGAGTTGAGACACGGATGCCCGCCTGAGGCGGCCAGGACGAGGCCTGACGCGTGTTCTGAGGCCCATGGGCTTTGGCCAGCTCACAGACCTCAGAAGGATCTGTTAAGGCTTGTCCGGGAGAGGAGACTTGTGGGTACAGTGGCCCTCGTCTCACTCAAGGCAGGGGCATCGCCTGTGTGGGTCCAGGAGGGGCTGCCGACAGATCCACAAGTGCTTGACAGTTTGGGGGAGTATTGTTCAGGTATTTTTGGAATGTTCCTCAGTTTGGATTTGTCTGATGTCTTTCTCATGGTTATGGGTTTTTTTCCCTGAGGAGGACCATAGAGGTGAAGTGCTATTCTCATCATATCGTAACAGGGTACCTACTGTCAACATGGCTTATCACTGTTAATGTTAACCTCGATCACCAGATTGAGCTAGTGTTTGCCAGGTTTCCTTACTGTAAAGTTTCCTCTCCACCCCATTTCCATACTGTGCTCTTTGGAAGCAAGTCGCTAACTGTACCCCAAACATAAAGGGTAGAGTTACGCTCCACGTTTTTGAGGGAGGAGCATCTACATTAGTATGTACTCATGGATATTTATTTATTTATTTATTTATTAAAGATTTTATTGGGGAATTGGGGAAGGGAACAGTATTGGGGAAGGGGAACAGCCAAGTTGTTGTCCTTCAATCTTAGTTGTGGAGGGGTGCAGCTAGCTCAGCTCCAAGTCCAGTCGCCGTTGGCAGCTCACAGCTGCTCAGCTCAAGGTGCTGTGTTCAATTTTAGTTGTGGATGGATGTAGCCCAACATCTCATGTGGGAGTCGAACCAGAAACCTTGTTGCTAAGAGCACATGCTCTAACCACTGAGCTCAAGGTGCCTTGTTCAATCTTAGTTGTGGGTGGGCATAGCCCACCATCCCATGCAGGAGTCAAACCAGCAACCTTGTTGTTTGGAGCAAGTACTCTCACCAGCTGAGCCATCCTGCTACCTGTTGGTAGCTCAGTGGCAGCTCAGCTCAGGCGCAGCTCACTGGCTCATGTGGGAATAGAACCAGTGACCTTATTGCTCAGAGCTCGTGCTCTTAACCAACTGAACCACTCGGCCGGCCCCTCATGGATATTTATTTTATACTTTGGGTTATCAAATACTACATTATTATTATTATTATTATTACTATTCAAATTGTTCTAGTTTTGGCTATCGGACACACTTTCAGTTGATTCCTGCACCCCTTTGATGTTTTGTTTTTTGAGCACTTCCTTAGTTTCCTAGCATTGTAAGGTGCTCTTGGCTTCTTGTGTATATTTCCTGACCCATCCCTAGAATTAACTGTTTCTCCAAGGAGTTCTGGTTCTTTTTATTGGAGAATGGCATTAGAATACAAGATCTGGGCCCTGGGTGTAATCTGTATTTTAATTTTATAGAAATACTAAGAATTCAGGGAAACCTGCACACTTAAAGTTAATCAACTCAGTGACCATTCCAGTGTCACCAAAGGTTGTGCAAGAAATATGTCTGTAGTACCAGGACCTGCCTGTTCAGGCACCCACCACTGTGGCAGGCATACAGAAAGCAGGAGTGAGGGGGACCGTGGGGAGGGCAGGTAGGGTGGGGTGGAGACTTGCTTTACACTTACACCCTCGTTCTCTCTGAATGTTGTACCGTGAACATACATGACTCCCTTAAAAAAAACAGGTTGAAGTGGAGAAGGGTTGAAAATGGACCTGTAGGGTGAGTGGAAGGTATCTATCAATAGGTCCTACACTGACGCCCTTGCATAATCTTCTGTTTCACTTCCTTCTCTTCCTCCCTTTTTTCCTTCAAGAGTCTGTGCTGGATTCCTCAAGTTCATCTGTATTTGTGCAGCCACTGGGCAATAATGTGAAGATCATTTTTGAGGAGCTCTGGCCTAAAATGTGTTTCCCTTTTGGTTTAGGTGACCCGGTGGCCCATAGGAAATCAAGGGCTGTTGTACGACCGTAGCTGGATGGTTGTGAATCACAACGGCATTTGCCTGAGTCAGAAGCAGGAACCCCGGCTCTGCCTGATCCAGCCCTTCATTGACCTCCAGCGAAGGATCATGGTCATCAAAGCCAAAGGTGTGAAAACTGGGTTCATTTTCACAACACAGCTGTCAAGCTTTTATACTCGTATGAAAGTCAAGTAATGGCTTTTCCAAACATTAAAATCTTAAAGTAAGGGAAATGATATCTGGAAGAGGCAACAAAAAGTTTGTTCCTCTTGTGTTCTGGGAATTTTCTGGGGAGAGGTAAAGATCTGACAGTACAATCAGAAAAAAAAGAGGTATAACTTTGGAAATTATATGATATTCTTTTCACTTATATTCTTTTTTATTTCCTTCACTCATCGTAATAAGCTTGAACTCTTCTCTGCTGAGTTTTAGTATAAACTATCCAACATGTATGGAAGTGTAGACTAGCTCTGTCCAGTGGAACTTTCTGTGACGGTGGAAATGTGCAGTATTTACATTGTCCAGTTTGGTAGTTACCAGTCACATGTGGCTACTGAGCGCTTGAAAGGTGGCTAGTGGAACTCTGGAACTGAATTTTAAATTTTATTTGATTTTAATTAATTGAAATTGCTACATGTGGCTAGTGGCTACAGTGTTGGACAGCACAGGTATGGAGAATAACATAATACACCTTTACAGCACTGAATTGTAACAAATCTTAACATCTGGCCACATTTGCTTCAGATTCCTTCTCCTCCTCCCCCTCTCCTCCTTTTCGACTTCCTCCTCCTCCTCTTCTTCCTCCTTCTCCCTGTAAGAAACAAAGAAAACATTACAGATACAGCTGAAATTCCCTGTGTACGTCTCCCTGGCCTCACGCCTCCTCCTTCTGTGCCCCATGTACCATTTATAGAATTTTCAATTTGTAGCTATACTTTTGTGATATATCACATTTCCATATATTCACAGTTATGTTTTTTGGCTATAGATGTTCTGTTCTGTTCCAGTGGTTCATTTTGCTTTGGACCAACAGGCCAGGGTTATCATTAGGGCTGTAGAACAAGTCTTGATATCTGGTAGGGCACGTCCTACCTCATTCTTCCAAATTGGTTTGGCTATTCTTGGCCTGTTTTCCTGTGTGAATTTTAACACATGGACAGATTTGTATGGGCCGTCCCACCATCAAGAGACAGAACAGTTCCATCACCCCAGAAAATTCCTTCATGCTCTCCCTTTGTGGTCTCCCTTCTCCCAATGCTTAACACCTGACAATCAGAGATCCGTTCTCTTTCACTACAGTTTTATTTTTTTAAGAATTTTATATAAATAGAATCATACAGTGTATGCTTTTTTGAGATTGGCTTCTTTCATTTAGCATGATGCCTTTGAGATCCATCTAAGGTATTGCATGTATCAGTAGTTCATTCCTTCTTACTGCTGAGTAGTATTCTACTGTATGGATATACCAGAATGTATTTATCTATTCATCTGTTGATGGACATTTCAGTTGTTTGTAGTTTTGAGCAATTATGAACAGAGCTGCTATAAGCATTCATGTGTAGGTTTTTGGGTGAACAGAAGTTTTCATTTCTCTAGAATAAATGCTTAGGAGTGGATTGCTGGCTCATATGGTAAGTGTATGTTTACATTTGAAAGAAGCTGCCAAACCATTCTCTAGAATGACTGTTCCATTTTGCTGTTTTTCTATGTACTAGCTGATTTTTTCTGACTATTAGTTCTGTTGATTACTGAGAGAGGAATGCCGAAATCCCCAATTATAATTGTGGATTTGTCTGTTTTCCCTTTTAGTGCTGTTAGTTTTTGCTTCACTTAGTATTATTATGTCATCTTGTTCAGTTCTCTCTTTAAGTAATGTCTGTCTTTATACATGGTAATTTTCTTTGTTTCTTTTTGGTGAAGTATGAAATTCTTTGTCTAATATTAATATAGCCATTCAGCTCTCTTTTGATTAGTGTTTGCAGGGTATATCATTTTCCACCCTTTTATTTATTTCTTCTAGCTTTATGGATATTTATTGAACATACCATAAATGTATCTATTTAAAGTATACAGTTCAGTCATTTTTTTTTGTATATTCACAAGGTTGTACAACCATCATCATAATCAATCTTAGAACATTTTCATAACCCTAAAAGAGAAATACCATACCCATTAATAGTCACTCCCCATTTCTAACCTCATCCCTATATCCTGGCAACCACTAATCTTTCTGCTTCTATGGCTTTACCTATTCTGGATGCTTCATGTAAATGGAATTATACAATATGTAACTGGCTCTTTTCACTTAATATAATGCTTTTAAGGGTTATTCATATTGTTCAATAATATTCCATTGAATGGATATACCATTTTTTTACCCCTTCGTCAGTATGGAGACTTAGATTGTTTCCACTTTCTGGCTATTATGAATAATGCTGTTATGAACATTTGCGTACAAATCATCTTGGGTATATACCGTATTTTGTTATGTATAATGCACACTTTTTTTTACCCAAATTTGTGAGGGAAACATAAGGATGCGTGTTATACATGGGTACAAATTCTGTATCTATATAAATGTTTTTAATTCTTTTATTTATGCTTATGAGTTAAAAGTGTAACTCTAAAAACAATGACAATATCCATATGTAAAATAATGCCCTGGAATACGGTAATTGGTTTTGTTGAACTTACGAGGAACTTGCAACTACAAAGAGTTCTTGGCCTTCTGTGATGCATAAATTTGTTAATGGTACATAAAATTTCTTGTACCTTGTATCAGTTCTTGTGTTTTGTAATTATTTGTTACATAAAATTTCTTGCACCATAATATGTTAAAAAAATAAATGCTAAAACTCCTTTGTAATACAAAAAACAAGTACCTAAATATAAACAAATAAAAATTTGAATTAAAAAATTGAAACAAAAGATTTTTTTTCTTGAAAGTTTGGGCCAAAAACATAGGTGTGCAATATACATGGCAAAATACGGTACCTAGGAGTGGAGTTGCCCGGTCATGTGGGAATTCTATTTTTCACATTTCCAAAGTGGCTGCATCACCATTTACATTTCTACCAAGCAATGTATAAGGTCCCAATTTCTCCACACCATCTTCAACACTTGCCATTTTCTGTTATTGTATTTTAATAGCCATCCTAGTGGGTGTGTAGTGGTACCTCAAGTGACTTTCATTTGCATTTTCCTAACGATAATGATGTTGACATTCTTTTCGTGTGTTTATTGGCCATTTGTATATTTTCTTCAGAAAAAATTTCTATTCAAATTCTTTGCTTATTTATTTTTGAATTATTGGGTTGTAAGAGTTCTTTATGTATATAGTCTGGATACAAGTCCCTGTTCAGATCTATGATTTTCAAATATTTTCTCCCATTTTGTATGTTGTCTTTTCATCTTCTCCATAGCTCCATTTTACTTTTAATCTGCCTATATCATTATATTCTAAGTGAGTGGCTTGTATCCAGCATATAGTTGGCTCATGCTTTTTTAAAAATTCATTGAGACAATCTCTGTATTTTCATTGGTGTGTCCAGTTGGGATTTTGATTGCAAATTCACATAGTCTACAATTATATATTTGTAATCATATTTTGATTGTAATATCATATATTCACTTCCTGAGAATTTATGTCATGTAATATTGAGTCTTTTACATGTAAATAGTATCTTCATTTAAGACTTCTTTAATTACTTCAAAATTTTAATAACATTTTCCAGAAAATTTTTCACATTTTTGGTTATATAATAGCTAATTGGAGCATATTGAATACTGTTTTTTTCTGTTAAATGTTTTAATAGGTTATTAATACCACATAGAAACACTACTGATTTTTGTTTATCAATGTTATACCCAGCACTTCTTCTGAGTTCCTGTTAGTTTTATTAGTTGGTCTGAAGATTTTTCTCGCATGTTCTATGTAAATAGGCATATCATCTTCTAACAATGATAGTTTATCTTCCTTTCTAATTTTTCTTTCTTTATTGGCTAGGCCTTCTCGTATAATGTTGGAGCTGTGATGGAAGATGTCCTTCTTTAGTACTGATTTGAATAGAATGCTTCTAACGTCTCAAAAATAAGAATGATGTTTACTGTGGGTATGTGATTGATTTATCAGGCTAAAGTAGCTCTTTTCTTATTTAGCCAAAAGTTTTATGACTAATAGTCAATTCTTACTGAATGCTTTTTCTGCATCTGTTGGTTTTCATATTTTTCTTCTATATTCTATTAGTGTGATGTCTTTTATTAGTAGATTGTCTAGGATTGAGCTATCCTTGCACTCTTAGGGGAAAGAAAACACTAGTTCGCAATGATTTTTTGATATATTTGATTTGATGATATTTTGTTTACTAGCTTTGTAACTATTTTCATTAGTGAGATTGATGTATCAACTTCTTTTATTGTACTTTTCTTGTTCAGGTTCAGGTACCCAGGATATTAACATCTGAAAAGAGCTGAGTGGATTACCCCACTTTCTATTCCCTGAAGCATACAGATATATATCATAGCTAAGTAGGGTTCATTCCAAAATGAGAGAAAAAAATACTCAAACACCGTTTACTCAAAGTGAAGAGCACTTTTTGAGATGGTGTGGTGTCTTCCATATGTATCAGATATTCTGCTCACTTGTAGGGGCTTCCAGCATTATGGATGGAGTAGGATCATCCTTTGGCAATGTATGGCAGGACAAACTAAATAATACACAATAAAATAAAGCATTATGCTAAATAATAAGCAATAAAATAAAGCATTATAATGGTTTTATGTGTGGGACTTGTCACGCTCAGATTTTAGGTATCTTGAGTCCAGAGGTCAGGCTCTTTTTTTTTTTTTTTAAATTTTTTATTGGGGAACAGCCATGGTCATTGGTTACATATGGCTTTCATGCTACAATGGCATAGCTGACTCTTTTTTAAAGGAGGGCACAGCTCACAGTGGCCCATATGGGGATCGAACCGGCAACCTTGGTGTTACTGGCACCACGCTGTAACCAACTGAGCTAACAGGTCACCCAAGACCAGGCTCTTTTATTTCTCTATATCTCTGAGCTGAGCACAGGGACAGTACATATGGAATAAACTCAGTCTCCATGCACTTTGTTGGGGGCCCCTTGAGTTCAATGCGTGTTGGGACCCCAGATTTTGCTGGCTTAACAAGAGGCCTGTGATAATCTTTGTAAGCCATCTGAGGGCCATGTTGATGATTTTCTGTGACAATGCAGAGTGATTTATGTAGTCTCAGATAAGGGTAGGAAGAGGCTGAGCACAGATGTCCTGCTGACTCCCCAAGTGTGCGTTTATGCTCTGGCACTTTCCTACATGCTGTTCCCCTGCACCGTGATTACTTCCTCATAACCAACGTTCCAAGCTCACTTAACTTCTCTCCCCTGTGGGTGCATGCACACCCTTTTGACATGGCAGCATCTATAATCACTCAGCACAGCACCTTCCTTCTCCAACCTTCTGGAGCATTCTGGATTGATTTCTCTTCTGGCCTTCCCCACATAGGGACAAAAGTGTAGAACTGGCTGTGTGCGTGTATGATGTAGACAAGCCCAGACACAGTTCATGGAATATCTGCTACACAGATTGTCACTGCTCTTGCCTTTGTGGTGGTGAATAGCCTGTGTGTGGGGCACGCGCCTGGGTGGCAAGCATGGTCGGAAGCTTGTGGGTATGAGAGCACGTATCAGTTTGCTGTGCTATGTGAAGCAGGACCGGGATGAGCAAGGATACAGATGTGCATAACCTGAGGGACAGGCTAGGTCATGCTGCCGGGCAGCGTGACTGGCAGCAACTTGGAGAGGGCTGGAGGACGCAGGTGGACCACACAGGAAGAGGTCCTACTTTTATTCACCACAAAGTAGGGGCCGCCACAAATCCTACTCAGGTGTCTTGGCTTCGTGCCCTTTCCCTACATTTTGAATGACTCACGAAGGACGAGAGGGAGTGCTGAGCGGCAGAGGGCCTCAGCAGTTCTAGCCATTATGGAAGGTCTTTCACTCCTTAATGGCATTGGCTCTTTCTTTTACTTTGATCCACATTTTTCACTCTAATTTTATCTAAAGAATGAATACCACTTTAGCTGAGTAGTGAGTATGTGAGTGTTCATTATTATTTTTAAATTGCTATATGCATATGGTATATATTCCTTTATATGTATGATGTATGTATAACAATTAAAAAAAAAGAATAGCTTCCCAACCCCATTTTTAGAGAGAATGATTGGTGCAGGAATCCAATTTGATGCTGACTGCTAGGGGCTACTGAGAATATGCTGATATCTTTATAGAATGAGCCTTCATACTTGCCTGTTTATTTCTAAAGGATTTTAGGGACATTAGAGAACAATGACCTTGGGATTTGGAGTCATCCAGAGGTAGTTAAAACTTTCAAAAGAATTTATAGTGTTCCAGGGACTATGGACGGGACTTCCTCAGTTGAGGGTCTCCCAAAAGAAAGCTGCTCAGTGCACACATTGTTGTACTGATCATGCTGAAGAGTCTCTGTGTAACAAACTGATTTCCAAGACCCAGCCACTTACTTGATTCAACCAATTTCCGGGGTCACTACCGTTCTTGTATATTGAACGATAATGGGTTTTTACTTACATAGTTGTTATTTTTGCATGATGATAAATTTGTTTCTAACCTTTGCTCATCAGGGATGGAGCCCATAGAGGTGCCTCTTGAGAATGGTGAGCAGGCTCCGATTTGCCAAAGCAAGGTCTGTGCAGACAGGTAAGACTGGGCAACAGGTGAAAATCTCAGGTGCATCTGCAGGGAGACACTGAGGGGGAACAGTCCTCTGCTGTGCCCCCCCTCCAGCCTGCTGCTGCTCCCCACTTGCTCACTCCACTGGCACCTTGCTATTTATTCTTCAACCTCCCAAGCACACTCCCTCCTCAGGACTCTGCACTTGCTGTTCCCTCCGCTTGGAATGCTGTTGCCCTGTTTATACCTCTACAGGGCTCACTTCCTCACCTCTGTCAGCCTCACTTTCATTGGATCTCTGCTGAAAAGCCCCATTCTCAGTGGGGTCACCTGACCTCCCACAGATATCAGCCCCTCCCTCTCTGCTTGTGTTGTTATATTCTTCTCTTCCACATTTATTTCCCCAGCCTTTCTCTTCAGTGTCTCCCACTACAATGCCAGAATGCTGACTTGAGAGAGCAGGACTCAGTCTGTGTTTCTTCCTACAGAGCCTGGCACACTGTGGTGTGGGGGTGAAGTGGGCAACAGTTTGGAGGAGGCATGGTGGAGCTCAGGTGGGGTGGCCACAGTGGAGTGGTGAGGGAATGGACCTGATTCCCATTTTTTTTTAAATTAGGGAGTTGGGGGAGGGAAACAGTGTTGGGGAATTGGGGAGGGGGACCAGCCAAGTTGTGTTCTTCAATCTTAGTTGTGGAGGGCACCAGTCGCCATCTGGCTGCCCATCGGCAGCTGGTGGCCTATAAGCTCAGGTTGCTGTGTTACAATCTTAGTTGCGGGTGGGTGTAGCCACCATCCCATGCGGGAGTCAAACCAGCAGCGTTGTTCTTAAGCGCGCACACTCTATCAACTGAGCAATTCGGGTGGCAGCTCAGCTCAAGGTGCCGAGTTCAATCTTAGTTGCGGGCAGGCGCAGCCCACCATTGAACAGGCAGTCGTGTTGTTAGGAGCACATGCTCTCACCAGCTGAGCCATCCTGCCACCTGTTGGCAGCTCAGTAGCAGATCAGCTTGGGTGCAGAGTCACTGGCCCATGTGGGAATCAAACCAGCAGTCCTGTTGCTCAGAGCTCATGCTTTTAAGCTAACTCTTAACCAGCTGAGCCATTCAGCCGGCTCCCTGATTTCCATTTTGAAGACTGGTTGCTGGGTGTAGAATAGTTGGAAGGATGTCAGGGTGCAAGTGGGGTGACCAAATGAGCACCTGTATGAGTAACACAGAGGAGACTTGAGATGGAGGCTTGGGCCAGGGTCAGGGAGAAAATCAGATGGGGGTCAGATATATATTTTGGAGGTAGACTCACATGAACTAGCTGATGGATTGGTTGTTGAGGCTGAGGGTGAAGGGGGTATTCTGAAGACCTTCAGGTCGTATAGTTTTTGGGTGATAACTGATAAATTATATTCCATACAGTTGTAGGTTATTGATAAATTATACCATAAATTATCTGTTAAATTCTAGGAAATGTAGAAAGTGAGGTTGAATGTAATAGCATTTCCATTTTATGTCTTGATTGTGAATGTTTATAAATCTATTTATTGAATATATCAAATGCCTACATCTTTTTTTATCTAAATATAATCTGAACCCCAAAACATGTGGGATATGAATTTTCTGATTGCGGGAACCAGCCCATCTAATACCCCAACAAATTTACCCCCTAAATACTAAAATAGTTAACAGTAACAGTTCACTAAGGATTTATATTCAGTAGAAGCTCTGAAAATGCTAATTGCCTTTTAGTTAACACAATAAGCTTATTATTATTAGCGAGTATGTTTGTGCTCAGTGGATGGTGATACTGCATAGCCTGGAATTGGATTACATTTTCTTCTGCACGGTCTCATTACTAACACGTAAATCTTGAAATGATATGTTAAATACTAAAGTGACATTTAAACTGGGCTCAAGTTGTTCGGGCCCCTGGGTCTCGCTGGGGTGATGAAGGGCTACACACTCCATCATAACAGAGCATCATGGGCACTGGGTCATCCACGAGGCCCAGAGTGGAGCACACTATGCGTCCTTCTGCCCGTACTTGTGGCAATACACATTCATTGTAGCACATCAAATTAGAGCAATGAATTTTGGGTAAACATTTTTGCATGTCACTACACATCTTCTCATAAAGAAAAATATAGCCATTTAGGAATACCTGCAGTCACTTACCCGGCTTGTCCCTGGTTGTATATTTCATTTAGCTTCCTCTGAGAGAGATCCCATATTCTGATTAATAAAGCTTTTTAGGTAGCTAGAGGTTAGGTTTCTTATGCTCAGAACCATGAGTACTTACTAATATGACAATGGAGTTTGGTGCAGTCTCTCAAAGTGCCAGAGAGAATGTGCTACAAAGTGAGCTTTCATTCTTCATTTTCCTTTCTGACAAAGAAAGGCAACTATTTTTCCCAGTAAAAATTAAGAGTAAGGTAGGTTTTAAATTCTATCTTATAATCCCAGTGTAAGGTATTAACAATTTTGCATTATAAATTCTGGTGATGTGCAGATTAAAACTTTTTTTTTAATTTAAAATTCTATTAAAAATTATAGAAGATTGCAGATTAAAAAAAAAACCAGATCAATAAATGTACTTATATTGGGAATTTATAGGCATAGTGTTCTTTCCACAAACCAAACACATCAGTCCATATGATTTGGCTGAGAGAGAACATATTACAGTCAGGTTCCATTGTGAAAAACCAAGCCACGGGTCTGGGTTCCAGGGCTTCCTAAAGCAAAATAATGCTCTGGAAAGTCTATAATTCCAAGGTTTGTGGTTCTTAGTGGCTATCATTAATATAAGCAAGGTCTTTCAAGAGGAGCTTCGAAAGCTTTTATGTGATCTGAAAGCTTTGCACAAGCCCCAGATCCCAGGTCTTCTGTGTCTTGGAAATTTTCCTGCAGCTTCCTAAGCACACCTGTCACTTTTAAGCTTCTTTCTGTCTGGGGATGATATGATATGATATATGATATGTTATATATCATATGATACCATATGATACCATATGATACATAACATCATATATCATATATTGTATATCTAATTTTTTGCCATTTAGATTATTACTTAAAGAAATACTATGTTACATTCACCATTCTCTCTCTTTTTTTTTTTGTCAGGGTAAATACTTATGATTGTGGAGAAAAAATTTCAAGCTGGTTGTCCAAGTTTTTGGGCCGTCCATGTCATTTGATCAAACAAAGTTCAAACTTTCAAAGAAACGCGAAGAAACACAGCAAAGGTATCACATTTCAGATTGGTTCTTAGAGGACCAGAACTCGGGCTTACCTTTTCACACATCACAATCAGCCCATGAAGTGGGATTACAGGGCAACTTGCTCATGTACAGAAAATGGGGTGGTCAGCCTTCATCAGAAAGGTGCCTTGGTGGCGCTAGGTCAGCAGGACCCATGAGTGGTCCCCAGGAGAACCCCGAGAGGCTGAGATGGGTGTCCAGCTGGCTGCTTGGCCTCTGCAGGCCTCAGCCATGCATGTTTAGAAGCACAGTTTCGTTTTGTTAAATAAAATCTTTGGTAGCTTGCTATGTCCTGAGTTTCTTGTCTTGGCTGTATCTCCAAATAGCTGTGAGACCTTGGAAAATCTTGAGCCTCATGATGCCTCAACTCCTGTAGACTTCAACTACTTAGACTTTCAAAAGTTTTGACAATTTTTCTGCCATAAGGTGTTTTCAGGATGAAATGCAACAGCAGAGAAGGAAGTGCTTTGTAAGTGAACAGTGCCATAGGGGAAGGAGAGATCATTTTCAGGTGTCTGCTCAAGTGCTGTCTTCCCACGGAAGCCTTGCCTGATGGCCCTCCTTCAAACCAGAGCCCCTCCCTGCACCTCCCCAGCTCCCTTTCCTGTTTTCTTTTTCTCTGTGGCACTTTTCATATCCTATAGGTCATGCATTTTTACTTAGTTATTCTGCGTATGCCCTGCCTTCCCTCTACAAGATCATAAGCTCTGTGAGGGCAGGGATTTTTGTCTGCTTTGTTTGTGTTGCATCCCCAGTGCTTAGAACAGCACCTGGCACATAGTAGTTGCTCAGTAAATACTAGATGAATGAAGGCACGGGTCATTGCTACCTTACTGGTTTGTGCAGGGATGACCTGGCCTAGAGATGACCTCTCAAGAGAGACTGGCTTGTAAATCCAAATAGCATTTTGACTATATGGGGACCACTAAGGGGGGTCTTGGGACCCACGCAGCTGTACCTGTGAATCCCTGAAAATTTATGATAGAGAGAGGAGTCAAAGGATGCAATCCACTTAGACTTTTTCAAGTTTTAACAATTTTTCATGTCACGAGGTGTTAAAGAATTTGAGTCGCTATGTGATGGGGAAGGGGAATAAACTTACACTCATTGTATCGAGGAGGTGAGCTGGTGGTGTTTGGGCATGGATTAGCTCAGAGACATGATGAAAGGGGAGCAAGAAATGGGCGTTTCCATGAGGAGAGACATGCAAGGAGTGGGATTTGTCAGGACCTGTGCTACCCTTATGAATGATGTGCTCGAATAAGTTCCAATCATTCACAGCGCCTTTCGTCTCTCGGGGGCTCAGCTGGGTCCTCAGAAGGCTGGCTGAGATTAAGCAATGATCATGGTCCTTCAGGATCTCTGTTTAGAGGCAACGCCTCACCAGCAGACAGTGACATTACAGCATAAGGGATGTGCTAAAGGTCTGTGGAAAAGGCATGGGTGTCGGGGAGGCATCCTCCTCACCTGGGGTGAGTCACGGAGGGCTTCAGGGAAGAGAGAGGAGTCAGAGATGTAATCTGCTTAGACTTTTACAAGTTTTCACAATTTTTCATGTCATGAGATGTTAAACAATTTGAGTCACTATGTGAGTTTGGAGCTTCCTCTTAACAGGAGCGTAGGAGTTTTCTTTCCAGGCAGAGGGAGGCGAGACAGTTACTTGGGAGCAGCGTGGCAGGGCTTGGCATTTCGTGGGCTCAGAGAAGGGTTTAGGGGGGTTGGATATGGGTAGGGGAGTGATGGGGCAGAGCTGGGGAGAAGAGATACATGCGCTGCTGAGGAGTCAGCAAGTACTGTTTAGTGGTTGGGGACATTCATTGAAGAAGTCTAAGCTGGGGAGCTTTGTGACACTGCTTGTGTTAGAAGGACTCACCTGGCGTGGCATGGAGGCTGCATCAGAGAGGGGAAGGAGGGAAACCAAGGGGCCAGGCAGGAATGGCCGTGACTGTCCTAGTGGGACGTGTGGGCCTGGGGGAGGCAAAAGTGGGCATAGAGAGAAGTCTGTCGCCTGTATGACACAGGACCAGGGAGTGTCAGCTTGTGAATATTAATGCTTCACTTCAAGGATGCCATTTTTTGGAGGAGAGGCCTCTGCTGGTCTTTGTACATTTTTGTGTTGGTATACCTTAGATGAATTTTTTTAGTGCTATAGTACCTCCTCATACATTTTTATATTGTCATATAAATTTTAAAAAATAGTTTAAATAGTTGCAAAGGATGAGATTTCCAGCATATTGTAAATATAGTCATTTTAAATTAAAACTCCTATATCACCCTTTAAACATTAGCCAGTGGAATCTCAATACCATAGCAATTTGATTCCCATGAACATTCATTAAAAATGTATGAACAAACTGTCTATTAATGGTCAGAAATTTTATTTTTTTTCCCTGTTACTTCTTCAACCTGTGTTTCCCTTCCACTTTCTTGACAGAATTTTAGCTCAGTGTTATGTGGTTTATGTTTGGAAATCTTTCCTTGATCACCCTATTATATTTATAGGGTGTAACTAATTCAAATTTATATAAATTCAAATGTATAAACATTTTTAAAGTTTACTGTGATCATAAGAGTCTAAGTGTTACGAAATTTCTTCTAGTTTGAGTTCTTATAATTTTTAATAGTACACAGTTGATCAAAATAAAAGTATAAGTTTTAAAAGATTGTTGTTAAACATAAAGAGAAAACATTGTTGAAAATGAATCTTTTATTGAGATTGCTAGACTCCCTGCCATTAATTCTCATATTCATGAGTAACTGCCATCTATGACCAGAATTGCTCGTGCTAAGTTGGTTCTCTTCTGAAAAACCTTATTTCAGTCAATACAGGGCTGGGGATGAAAGGAATCTGGTTAACACACTGCCACTCACACCTTTCTTCTGAGACCCAGGGCTCTAACGTTAGGATGACTTTATCTGTCACTTGACAGCTTAATTAGGTGTGGCAGTTTTGTGGAGAGCAAAGAATTGGAACCCATCTGACCTACAGGAGGATCATTCGCCCCCAGCTTTAGAGACTTATTTTCTCAGCACAGACCCCAGAGTTTTGAATGGGGCTTTTGTTTTCCATCCTGGAGATTTTTAGCCCCGAGGGCAATGTGCCAAAGGAGAGGGGTGGCCTTTCCTCTGTGAAGTGGGAGAATGATCTTTTGTGGGAATGGATTGCCCCCCTTCTCTGACAAAATCATTTTAGCAGTGAAGACATTTGGCAGGAGAGGGTCTGGAAAGTGATTCTCTTAGAAGTGTCCATTCTCATGTGCTCTGGGGTCCTCAGACATGGTCTGGAGACAGCTTACTAGGCGTTGGCCCAGCCAACCCTTTTTATCGCCATCTTGGATAAGACACTGAGGTCTGCCCAACACGTGAGAGATAAAGCCTGGGTGACAGGCTGCCAGCAGTTCTGGCCACATTTGATATTTTCTTTCACTCTCTTTTCTTTCAGTAGTTTTAAAACTTATATTATTTATTTCTAAGGTCAATATCTCACACTTGCCTAAGGGCCACACCAGCTCTTCCCTAACTAGATTCAAAAGACCTTCCTGGGCCTGTGGTCCTCATCAAGGCCTCTCTTTCCTGCCATCTTGGGAAGGGCCCCTGGCCCCATCCTACTGTCTCATCTCTCCTCTTCTAAATGTTGCCTCCAAATTTTCTTTGTTGGAACAATTTCATTCCAGCATTTTTCCCTCCAGATTATTAACAGGGTATTCTAGGAGTTCATTTTCTTTCTGTTTCTGAGACGTTTGAGTCATGCATAGAACATTTTTTTATTATTTCCAGGGCACCATTTTTTTTCCCCCTGTGGAAATAGTCTTTACTATTTAGAAAGGTGAGTCAACAGAACATGATTCATTTGCATTCCAAGAAAGCAACTCTTATTTTATTTTTTTAATTAAAAAAATTTAAACTTTTTGAAAATTGTTTATTGAGGCATAATTGACATATAGGATTGTATTAGTTTCAGGTGTACAACATAATGATTTGATATTTGCATATATTATGAAATGATTACCACAATAAGTCTAGTTAACATCCATTACCATATATCATTACAAAAATGTTTTTCTTATAATGAGAACTTTTAAAATTTACTCTTCTAGCAACTTTCAAATGTGCAATATGTTATTATTAACTACAGTCACCATGCTGTACATTACGTCCGTGACTAATTGATTTTATAACTGGGGGTTTGTGCCTTTTGACCCCCTTCACACATTTTTCCCACTCCCCACCCCTTGCCTCTGGCAACCACCAATCTTTTCTCTGTATCTGTGAGATTGTTTTTGTTTCTTAAATTCCACATATAAGTGAGATCATATGGTATTTGTCTTTATCTGACTTATTTCAGTTGACAAAATGCCCTCAAGTTCCATCCATGTTGTCACTAATGGCAAGATTTCCTTCTTTTCTGTGACTGAGTAATGTTCCATTTATATATATATATATATATATATATATATATATATATATATATATATATATATATATATATATATATATGTAACACATCTTTATCTGTTCATCCATCAATGAACCACTTAGGTTGTTTCCATATCTAGAAACTTATTTTAAATACTCCATCACTTTTAGGTCAATCTTCTGGTACAACGGCCACTCTTTCTCTGGTAAATGAGGCCCAGTATCTGCTGGTAAACAGATCCAGTCTTTTGGAACTTCATCAGCAATTAAATGCTAGGTAAGATCCCTTTACTATTTACTCTCTACCCACAGAAGAGCACACAGGCATAACCACTTTCCCTTGCAAGTGAGCCTGGCACCTACCTGGGGAGAAAAGATCCTAGAGTCATGAAGTCCAGACGCCCTTCATTGAGAGACTGAGGCCCAGAGAAGTCACAAAGCCCTTTAGGCAAGTTCCCATTAATCTTTTTTGAGGGTTCTCTTTTATCCTCCAGTGTTCTTCTTGATACCCTCAAGATGCTTAGTGGGTAACCCCAACTCTCATTTTTTAATCATTCCATTTCTAAACATTTACTTTAATGAAATTGCTATCAACTTGACCCAATTTCATTGCCCACCCTCCCACTGTCCCCTGTCCCCTAGGAGCCTTGCCCTACTTCCACAGTCATTTTGAATGAAGAGTGGTTATGAAAGCTTTTAAAGTTGTAATTGTGGGTATTATTTGTTCGCATCATCAGACAGAACAAGCACCTCTGCCTGCTCTGACAGTATTAGAAATAGGTCAGCTCTAGAATGGGTCTTGGTTGGTCCAATCTCCGTCATTGTTCCTTAGAAGAAATTGAAGTCCCAAGGTAATCAGACAATTAGGGCAAAAAATAACCCCCACTGTTATGTGAGAGCTGAACTGCTCACCTAGTCCGCAGGCCAGGGTGGGGTGTGCACATACCTGTGACTGTCACGTGCCACATGGTCCTATGCATGTGTGTGCACATTAGCAAGCAGGCACACATATAGCTTAATAAAAACGACAAAGGTGGGCTGCCTGCAGTAATACCTGTTTACAGTCTGGCAAAAACATGCGACTGAGTTCCCTTGCCCTGACCCAGCCTGTCCTCCTTGGAAGCAGGAGTGTGACACACTTGCCTAGTCCCTGGGCATTCTCTGAGTTTTCTCAGCACCAAGTGACCCTCCTCTTCAGGCTCCCAGAGCCCTGGAGAGAGCAGGTGTGCGGTTTTCTGGGATTCTTGATGTGGAAAAATAGGAGGTGGAGATAAGCTTGCTGCAACCTTGGTTCCTACCAAGAGGGTACCACATTTCCTACCAACAGAGTACCACATTTCCTACCAAGACAGTACCACATTTCCTACCAGTTGGATTAGTGCAGGGCTGACAAGCAGGGGGTAGGCAGGACAGGTAAGATAGGCAAAGGTAAGAGGAATATCCCCATGACGATCACATGGTGATGGTCCCCAGGGGTCCTGGTTTTTGTATCCCTGTGTTCTATTTTTGAATTTGATGGCTGCTATCATTGAGTACATGCTGACCACAAAAGCCTTTGGACATAAAAACTTCCCTTTTACAAAGTACAGAGGGAGGGTTTATAACCTTGAGGGTAAATCCACAATCCAAATATTTTAGGACTGGGAAGTGCTAACCCTCTCATTTCAGATGAGGACACTGTAGTTCCTCATAGATTATGGGAGTAGCACATGGTGGCAAAGCGAGGCTTTGTCATCCTGCTCCTGGCTTTTCTCACCCCATTCACTGTCGGGAAGGGAGCTGGAATGCAGCTGTGGACCCCTTACCTGCCCCCAGAGCCTTTCAGTTCTGTCTCCAGGGAATATTCCAGTCATGCTCAAGGACTTCCCCCCTCAACTTAAAATAATTAAAAAAAAATTTTATTGAAGTACAACGAAATGCACAAATCTCCAGTCCATAGCTCAGTGAACTTTGACAGAGGTATATACCCATATAACCACCACCCCTATCATTAGAGAACATTTCCAGGATCCCAGAAACCTCACTCTACCCCAGCCCCTAGTCAGCCCCACTGAGAGTCACACTGTTCTGACTGTCTATGGTGAACATAGACAGTTCCACCTGTTTTTGAACTTAATATGATGGGATCATAGAGTGTGCTCTTTTGTTGAAGTTTTCAGATACTTTTTCAAGTGCTTTTTTCCCTTGGGGGAGGGGGTGCATGGAGGTGCAGAGAGCCATTTTATGTGACCTCATGGCAGTAAACAAAAACTTGAAACAAGAATTACAAAAATTGTATATGCTAGTTAAAATTCTAAACAGGATGGAAGTTAGGAAGAAAATTTCAACCCCCTCCCCACGTATACTCTATATTGCTTTATGATGTTTTAATATCTAAAAATGTGTGAGCCCTGGATACTTTTTCGGTCCTTGGTAATTAAGCTTGTTGACATGCTTTAAACGCCTCATCCTGACTCACTTTGTAGCTTTGGTATTTTCTCAGAAGTTCATTCACTAGACCTCTGTTCATCTGGTTTACAAAATTCTTCATCTCTTAAACTAAAATCGACTCATCCATCATACTACCTCTTGTGGGCCTCTTCATGGACATGGGATCATATCCCAGGGGAGACCACTGAGGTCTGTCTAACAGATGGGTACCATTTGGCCTTGAACTCGTGGTATGAGCTTATTCTTATCATCCAGGCCTCAGGCCAGAGTACAGTAGATGAAGTCAGGCATCGAATGGTAGAAACATTGAATTTTTACAGCAGTGCCATCCCCACCCCTTCCCTTTTTGGTATGTCTTCAACAGTGATGAGAACGGAAAGGAAGAAGTACTCCCCATGAAAGATCTCATCTCGCGTTTCCGTGCCAATATTATTACCAGTGGAACTAGTGCTTTTGAAGAAGAGAAATGGGATGGGATTTCAGTTGGTTCCTTGCATTTCCAGGTGAGTTCTGTGAAATTCTGTTATCTTTCTCTGAGGGTAGGCCAGGATGGTGGCAGGTGGGAATCCCTCCTGGTTTGACTCTTACCCTCTAAACCTCAGCAGGAGGGTATGTGATGTCTGCATTCTGAGATGCCCGGGGAAGGATCCATTCTTTATTCCCCATGAGGGTGGCAGCAGTCAGTTTCACGTGAGAAAGAGAGAATGTGCCCTGTCCAGGTGATCAACCGCTCAGTGCTGCCTCCACCTTGTCATCATGTCTAGGCTTAGACTCTATTGTCTGGGAATGTTCATATCTATGAGTTTATCTTGCTGAAACTTGTTAGACCTTTCCGCTATCTGGAGCTTGTGGAGGATGACTCAGATGCCTAGTAGATGCCTAGGACTACTTCAGTGCCCAAGGCTGCTGCACCTTCTCCCAGGGCTCTGACTTTTGTCCGGCTGTCAGCTGGGAGGAGCTTGCAGTCAGAGTCAAAGCCACCTGGATGCCCTCTCTCCCCAAGCTCTGGGCAGATATGGCCACCCCCAACCACCCCCAGACCTGACCCTGCCAGTCTCTGCTAGCTAACCGGCTTCTTGGAACTCTCCAACCTCTCAGAGGTCATCTTCCCTCTCCCTCGCTTGTCATAGCAACTTTCTCTCCATTCCCTAAACAAGCCAAACTTCCTGCCTCAGTTCCTTGGCCCTTGCTGTCCCTTTTGCTTGGTGCATTCTTTCAGCAGTGACTTCAGGGTCTCAGTTCAGATGCCACCTCCTTGGAAAGGATGTTCCTGACCCATCACATCGTCATGCTGTGCACAGCACCGGCTTACTCCTTCAGAGCATACAACGACGGGGACCAAGTCTGTTTTGCTCCCCGTTGTACCGCTAGGGCTTAGAACAACCCTGGCCCAGAGTCAGTGCTCGATAATTGTTGAGGGAATGAATGGACAGGAAAGGTAAGGAATAGCTGGGGAGAGAAGGGTGGGTCATCTGCACAGAACATGCCCAGTTCTGCAGTGGGGCATGAAATTACTTTGACAATAATAGTGTTATTACTTTGACAGTAGTAGTGTTATTAGCCAGTTGTATAAACTGACTGTCTTGGGTATTGTCATGCATCATAATGATGATATAGTTTCCACTTTTGAGCATGACTGAGTGCCAGGCCTGGGCTTGGCTTCTCTGAAATAGTACTGGGACTTCTATCAAATCCAGCTAAGGAACTAGATGGGAAAATGAGGCCTGCAGAGGTCACGGGTCTGCTGAGCGTCCCAAGGCGAGTACCAGGCAGAGCTCCTTTATGGCATGCCAGCTGCTTATGAGGCCTGGAATCTTGACTTTGGTATCACAGTGAGGTTATATTGCCACAGCCTTAATGCCTACCAGGTAGAATGCGAGTGATAGGAAGAGGCTAAGACACATCTAGATTTTGCTGAGTATTTCTAATTTCAGTGCTCACTTTGTGTTTGCTCATGAGTGAGCAGAGGAGAAAACGGTTATGAGAAAATCAAGTGCCTTTGCACCTTTTGCTTGTGCAGTAAAACAATTATTTTGTCACTGCTGAGCTGCACTTTCTTTTTTTTTATGTTAATGTTTGTAAGGGGTTGTCCCCCTATTAAAGTAATTCATGCTCGTGGTAGACCATCCAGAATAGAAATATGACCCTGTTAAGAAGCTGTGTACTGTGTTTTATGTGGTATGTGTACATGTGTGTGTGTATATATATATAGAGAGAGGATGCCAAAAAATGTATACACATTTTAAGAAAGGAAAAAAACTGTATTAAAAGTGTAATACTCAATATATACTGATAATAAAAGATGAATGCAAGTCATTTGTATACATTTTTTTGGCACCCCCAGTACACACACACACACACACACACACACACACACACGAATACACATGTAATTTTGTTTCCTGCTTATTTCAGTTATAAAAATAAAAATATTTCCCATTTTATTTAAAACCCTTTATAGGTTGTTTTTATTTTATTTTTATTTATTTTATTTTTTTATTTTTTTAAAAGATTTTTATTGGGGAATTGGGGGGATGGGAACAGTGCTGGGGGAATTGGGGGAAGGGGAACAGACTAGTTGCTGTCGTTTTGTTCTTCAATCTAGTTGTGGAGGATGTTGCTTCACTGGCCCAAGTTGGCACCATCATTGCGCTCTTCTCTGGCGAGGCAGATCAGTCGCCAGCTTCTGGACGGCCGCTCACTGCGGCTGCTGGCCGCTCACGCTGGCTGCTGGCTACATACGGTAGCCCATGGCAACCCACTGCCACAGGGACTGCAGCCTATGCCGTCGCCGGCGACTCATGGCAGCCCAGCTCCAGGTTGAGCTGTTGTTCAGCATCTTAGCTGTAGAGGGCAGTGTCACTGGCCCTCATATGTGGGATCCGAACCGGGGCCCTCTGGCATCCCAAGCGAGTTCTTAACCATCGCGCCACTCGGCCGGCCCTATAGGTTGTTTTTAAGACCTGCATCACACCGATGTAGTGTGGTTGGCTTCACCATTCTTCTCTCTTTGATGTTTCAGATTTTCCTTATTGTAAATAATGTGAGAATTACCCTTGTATATGAATCTGTGCTTGTACTTCTTATCCTTTTCTTGGGTTAATTCCCTAGTAGTGAAATTGTTGGGTCAAAGGACGTGGACACACTAAGGTTCCTTCTGATGACTTTCTCACAGCGACTCGGTGCCAGGTCTGTGGGACTTCATATTCTCCCAGTTTGTCCTCCAATCAGTTTTTTTCCTGGGATTCCTCAACGTTCCCCGATAACCATCTGAGATTCACAGCCACTCTTTTCTTTCTCTGCAAAGCCCTGCAGCAGCCTCCTTTTAGCTGATAAATACAGATAATTCCCCAGTGGCACTGTGACGAGGTGCCACTTTCTGGCTCCTTAACAGTTAGAATACTGAGCATTTCCGTGTAAGTCTGAAATTGGCTGGGAGTCGGCCTTTTACAACCAATCCTCCGGGACCTGGATTCCTCCCTGCAGAGTGGGAGGGTCTGGTCACTTTCATGGCAACACTACCTTTTACCTTCTCACCTCCCAGGTTTTGGGGCCTTGTCACAGATGCCAGATGATTTGCATTGACCAGAAAACTGGGCAACGAAACCAAGATGTCTTCCAAAAGCTTTCTGAGAGTCGAGAGAGAAAGGTAAGCATGATTGCAAAATACGACACCCCGTTTTAAGATCCTGGTATGTTACATACCCCAGAACTCTATCCCTAATAGTGCTGAGTAATTTTTAGAAGCAGGAGAACATTCAGAGGCTGATGGGCTACCATTAAGCTTCTAATTTCATCTGTGGCGCCATCTTATTTTCCGTTTCATCCATATCTTCACTTTTCCGGGGGCTCTTATTACGTGTATTTTTGATGCTCACAAATCTTGTGGAAGAGCTTTGGAGTATAAATGAGAAATAAGTAAATAAGTAAAGTAATTCTATTGTTTCAATCATTATTTTCCTCACTGCAGAGATCTCATGAAGAGTAAAATGCTTTATGGTGAATAGAGTAGCTGCATAGAAAGATTCAATAAATTTTACTCTATTAACCCTGTAAATCACCTTCTTGAGGGTTAAAATGACTAAAAGTTATTGTTGTAGATTCCACAACACTAAAGCTAAGTTTCTAACAGGTTGATTCTTTAGGAAGATATATTTCCGGGCTCGCACTTTCTGTTAGGACTTTATGTTTGCAAAGAATTCCAGGAAGCCGAGTAGGCAGCTAGGCTGCATGGAACAATTCTTGAAAATTTATTGAAACAGTGCAAATATTTAATCTCGCCAATAATAAATGGGCAGGTGAACTCATGGTAAAGTGTTCTGCATTTTCCTGTGTTTCTCCAAAACCAGGGTTATGTTTTACAGTATTTGATTGATACAATCTCCCTATAGATACTGGATAGATATGGTGTGCAGAGGTGTTGCCCTTGTACCAACATGTCTGCCTGCTTCGCTGAGGCAAGCTGTGTCACCTGGGGCCATGGGGATCTTGAGCCTGTCCCATGCAGGTTGCTAGGAGAGGGAATGGGTGGGCACAAATATATGGTGCGTCAAAGTAGTATTTCTCAGCATCGCTATAATTCTCATGTGCACACATCTTTAATTTTTTAAAATTGTGGAATAATTTTAGATTTACAAAAAAATTACAAAGGTAGTACAGAGAGCTCCTGTGTACTCTTCACCCACATGTGCCCAAATCTGAAGGAATTCACTTGACCTCAGCCCCCAGCCTGGAGCCTGGAACATGAGGATGGCCATCTGATGTTATCACAGGAATGCACAGCCCTGGGAGCACGTCACATACTTCGAAGGTCTTCCTGGCTTGCTGGCATTGATGGCAAACCTTGAGTAGACTTCCTCATCTCTTCATTTTGGGCCTTCCATCTTTATTCTGGAGAATTTGGAGAACTTAACTGGCATCACATGTTCTCAAGGAAAATGCAGGATTTTGCCATTATTTTTACCAGATGACTTTTACGTCAGGGAACAGAATGAAAATCAGCCTGGCAGTGGTCAGAGGCCCAGAGCTGAAAGAAAGCCCTCCTGCGTGAAGCTCAGGGTAGACAGGAAGGAGACAAAAGAATGAGTCCTGCGATAAAGAGGCATGGGGTGACTCTTGGGAAAGGAGACCTTGGAATTGGACTCTTGAGTCCCATTGAGGATTCTCCTTGTTTCCCACTACATGCTACTAAGTGACAGGACACATCAAGTCCCAGTACATGTCTTGAAAGATGTGACTTGATTTTAGTTGAACATTATTGTTTACAAAGTATTTCCACTGCTGAAATAATCCAGCTTCTTGCTGCTGTTGCTGTTTTGTTCACAGGTGAACTTTGGCGTGTACCTGATGCATGTATCTTTGGATTTATCTTCTCCACATTTCCTGTCTGTAGGATCTCAGGTGCTCCCTGTGTTGAAAGAAAATGCAGACGGCCATGACTTACCTGCTTCCCAGAACCCTCAGGATGTTCTCTCCTAAGATTTTTTTTTATCAGCATAAATTAAAATTTCTCTTTTACAATGATCTCGCCTCTTATTAAGATCAGCATGGGGTTCAGTAGAACTTAGTCTTTTGAACAAGGATAATTCTTTTCCTCTGGGAGGTGGAGGAGGCTCTCACCAGCTTCCTTCTTCCTCTAGTTCCTCACTCTCCCTGTGTGCCCTGGCCCTGCTCAGGAGGGCAGTTCCCAGGCCCCTGTGCTTCCCACGAGGCAAATTCCATGTGAATGCTGCACCCATGCCCGGGAAGACTTCCACATGTATTTGAAAGTCTGATCGTTTTAATTAGATGAGATTTATTTTTTTATTTCTTTAAAGATTTTTATTGGGGAATTGAGGGGATGGGAGCAGTGCTGGGGAATTGGGGAAAGGGGAACAGGCAAGTTGCTGTCGTTTTGTTCTTCAATCTAGTTGTGGAGGACGTTGCTTCACTGGCCCAAGTTGGCACCATCATTGTGCTCTTCCGGGGCGAGGCAGATCAGTCACTGGCTTCTGGACGGCCGCTCACTGCGGCTGCTGGCTACACATGGTAGCTCATGGCAACCCACTGCCACAGGGGCTGCAGCTTAGGCCGTCGCCGACTCACAACAGCCCAGCTCCAAGTTGAGCTGTTGTTCAGCATCTTAGCTGTAGAGGGCCGTGTCACTGGCCCTCATATGTGGGATCCGAACCCAGGTCCTCTGACGTCCCAAGCCAGCTCTTAACCATCGCGCCACTCGGCCGGCCCTAGATGAGATTTTTAATGAAGCTTACTGGGAATATTCTGTCTTGCCCTTTCCCCACGCTGTTCACTTTGTCTATAGAAAGCATCTGTAGGTGCTCCTCAGTCCCTTTGCACCGAGGAAGGTAGCCTGATCTTGAAGGAGTGAGAAGTGCCCTCTCCCCTCATATGCAAGGCGGAGGTGGGTTTATGCTCAGGCCGCCCCGAGTGTGACTGGTGGCCATGTTCCTTCAGAGAGGTTCGACTGGGGTGTTTATGTGTTGAGCAAAGGCCCAGGCCAGCAGCCCGCTTCCTCTTGTCTCCTAGCCCTGCCCACCATTTCTCTCCCCCTTGGAGCTGATGCACTGAGGACTGCTCATGAGCCTGCAGACACACTCACTGAGGCTGGTGTCATGTGAGCGGCTGTGCTCCCCTCCACAAGCTTGTCGGGCAGTGTTGGTCCATCCACCCATGAGCTTCCAAAGCCCAGGTATGAGGAACGTGGAAGGTTGCGGGATCCCGTTGATGTCACCTCTGACCGGCACTCTTTCAGCCTCCAGTTCAATATGTCCCGTGATGGAAAGGTCGTTCCCTAGTGAAGTTACCCAATCCCATTGAGTTGCTCTGAGGTTCCTCCATGTATTGAACTTGAATCTGCCTCCATGTGTTTCCAGCCATGGGTCTAGCCCTGTTGTCTGGAGCAACTTAGAGTGAGCTCATACACCCCCGAATCCACTCGGCTGAAGTCCTGCTGAAGCACGCAGCCCACGTGAGAACCCCAGGTCGTTTGGCCAGTCCTCCAGCACCTCCCGCCTGGATTGTGCATGAGTCCAAATGCTTCTCTTCCTGAAACCCCGAAACCACTCCCCACAGCATCTTCCTAAAGCTAGTGTCACGTGTCTCTCTGCTGCCCAGTTGTTTAGTGCGTCATTGTTTAGTGCCCAGTTGTTTAGTGCTCGCAGCCTCCATGTCTGATCTAATCAGAGCCTGGGGATTAGGAGTTGATTTGTTTCATTATCATATTTGTAAGACTTTGTATTGTTTCCAGCACTTTGAGATTTGAAACATGATGCGTGCATCTCCTCCAGGGTTGCTGAGGTAGAACCGTGTGCTTATACTGTCCTTTGATTTGCAGAATTAAGTGTAATAAGTGGCCTCTGACCCAGTGGTTCCTTCCTGAGGTCAGCGAAAGAGGAGGCAAATGAGGTTAGGTGGGAGTTTTCTTATTTCAAACTGTTGATTAAAAATTCGGCCTCTTCCATAAATTTAACGCTGTCATTAACATGCATATTTTATGAATGCCATTTGTTACTGAATCAAAATCGCTCCACAGCGTCATCATACATTAGCATCGTATGTTTTCAGCTTCTCTTACAACAATCCCTATTGACTATGTTTGGAATCTAACAGACTCATAAAAATTAGTACATTTTCAAAAATACTTTTAAATCCAATAACTTGGAAGAAGTAGTGTAAAATCTCATGTTATACACATGAAAAACCCACATATCAACAATTTTAACTTAAAAGAACTAATTGATTCTGAATTGATAATGACGTTGAAACTATTCAAAATATGACAGCACATTGGTTACCGTATGAATTACATTTCAGAGAGCTTAAATAAATATTGAAAGTTGGAAAAATAAGGAAAAGGAATCTTTTAGGAAAACATACATTGATAACATTTTAAACCAACTGGAAACTGAGAAACTATTTTTAGTCATTTTTTGTTTTTTTTTAAGCAAACTTTTAGTACAATTTTAGATTTATAGAAATATTGCAAAGGTAATATGGAGTTATATATCTATGCAGTTTTCCCTATTATTAATATTTTTTCATAATTATGGAAGCAATAATAAACCAATATGTATAATAAAAAAATAATAATTCGGCCTCTTCCAAGACCCAGCACCGCTGCAGCGTGTATATGGGCCTGTCCTGGTCAGCTAACTGACTTGAGAACAATGCACTCAGGTGATGGCCCTTTTTGGCCAGTTTCATGCAGGAGGAAACTGTTCCCAGATGGCAGGCACGCTGTAGCATTTTCCAAGAATTTGCATCCTATTAAGTATGCTGGGGACCAAGTAAGAAAACATGTTCTATAACAATTTGATCATCTATGTCATCAACATATTTTCAGGCACAAAGGGCAACTTATTTTGTTCTTGTCCACACTCATATCACTTAAAAAAAAAGATTTTATTGGCTAATTGGGGGAGGGGAACAGTGTTGCAGAATTGGGGAAGGGGACCAGCCAAGTTGTTGTTCTTCAATCTTCATTGTGGAGGGCACCAGTCGCCACCTGGCTTCCCGTCAGCAGCTCGTGGACTCTAAGCTCAAGGTGCTGTGTTCAATCTTAGTTGCAGGTGGGCGTAGCCACCATCCCATGTGGGAGTCGAGCCCGACAGCCTTGTTGTTAAGAGCGCACCCTCTATCCACTGAGACATCCGGGCAGCAGCTCAGGAAAGGTGCCGAGTTCAGTCTTAGTTATGGGTGGGCATAGCCCACCATCGAACAGGCAATCTTGTTGTTACACCAGCTGAGCCATCCTGCCACCTGTTGGCAGCTCAGTGACAGCTCAGCTCGGGTGCAGCGTCACTGGCCCATGTGGGAATCAAACCAGCGGCCCTGTTGCTCAGAGCTCGCACTTTTAAGCCAACTCTTAACCAACTGAGCCACTTGGCCAGTCCAACACCCATGTCACTTTTTGCAGTCGATACTTTTGGCACTGACTTCAGACATTTGACTGCAAATACTTTATAGCACAATTATTTAGTTAATTTCTTATCATTTTTGATTTAATATTGATCTGTCTCTTCCAGATTGTAAGGTCCTGTGTCTGTTTGGCTTACCAGAGTATCCCCAGTATTATTGGGTTGTCGGAAAACTCATGACGCATGTTTGCGACAGATGGCACTAATTCATTTTTGGAAGTACTATAGTCATTCGCTTCTATGTTATTACTGTGTCATTTGACAGCTGACAGTTCTAGCTTCATTCTAAAAAACAATTGAGCGATTTGGTTGAGTTTTGGAGATTTTACAACAAGTTGAAGATGAAAGACCAAACTGCATTTTTGCCATATTTTACTGTTTTTCTTCCATAAAAGGGAAAAAGCGCGTCAAGCTTGTGAAAAGTTGCATGAAGTTACGGTGACAATTGCTCTACAAGAACGTCAGTGCCAACGATGGTTCATGAAATTCTGTGCTGGTGATTTTGATCTAAACGATGCTCCTCGGTCAGGGAGGCCCACTGAGGTTGATGATGACAAAAGAAAGGCATTAATTGAGGCAAACCCACGTTATACAACATGAGAGATTGCAGAAACATTGAACATCCATCATTCAAGTATTCATGACCACCTGAAGAAGCTGGGATACTTAAGCAAGCTCGATATTTGGGTTCCGCATCAATTCAAACAAATTCATTTGACGGTGCTTTTAAACATCTGCAATATGCTTATTAAACGTGAGGAAGACAATCCTTTTTTGAGGCGACTGATAACTGGTGATGAGAAGTGGATTGTTTACAACAATGTGGTGTGCAAATTGTCTTGGTCCTGACGTGATGATTTGCCTCAAATGACATGGAAAGCAGACATTCATCAGAGGAAGGCTATGCTCTCAGTGTGGTGGAATTTTAAAGGTGTCATGTTTTTCGAGCATCTACCAAGGAACCAAACAATCAATTTAAATGTGTACTGTTGTCAATTGGACAGTTTGAACGAATCCATTATCCAGAAATGTCCAGAGCTTGTTACTTGTAAAGGAGTTGTGTTCCATTGAGACAACGCGAGACCACACACAAGTTTGATCACCTGTCAAAAATTATTGGAGCTTGGATGGGATGTGTTGCCACACCTACAATACTCACCTGACCTTGCACCGTCAGACTTCCACTTGTTTCGCTCTCTTCAAAACTCCTTGCGTGGTATAATGTTCAATTCAGATGAGTCTGTAAATCAGCACCTTGTTCAGTTTTTCGCCAATAAAGACAGGTCCTTCTATGAACGAGGAATTATGAAGCTCACTGAAAGACGGCAAAAGATTATCGAACAAAACAGGCAATATGTCATTGATTGATCTTCGTTCTTTATATAAATAAATGACCTTTGAAAAACATAGAAAAAATACGTCATGACTTTTCCAACAACCCAATAGCATGTAATAGGTGTTCAATAAAATTTGTTGACTGATTTTATTAAAGCTGGCCCTGTTTTTAAAATTAATTGATTTTAAATGTAAATTGCCTCTAAGGTCTAATTTAAATATTTCTCATATGAGGTTTCAGCTAACAATCAATTTTGTGTAT